AGTACATGATGCATCTAGCCTGTGGGCCATGAGTTTGACATCCCTGACATAAATCAATGTAATTAATTCAGTTGTTTTCCTTAATTGCAACCATCTCCCTAATAATTTCAAGCTAGTACAGCTGCCAAGACAGAACATGACAAAATATGGCCTTAAAATCCCAGATTCTTACCACTGAGGGTGCAAGTCCTTTCACATTCTGTTTTTTCTTCCTCAGTTTGGATGGTGTTTTATCCATGATGTTGTGGGCACCACTTATTTGTTTAACTTGTCTGTAAAATCCATCTGTAAAACAGGTTCAGGAAACATTTAAAAGGCCTTCCTTTCTGGCTTTTTCGTATATGGTAAATGACCCACAATCATACTGTAAATTCATTCAACTTTATAAAAGCTGAATATCTTATTTTATTAATATGTATTATGTAACGGAAAGCACAAGGAACTCCAGGTTCATATCCACAAAACTCAGGAGATAATCTAGTGGTCACTGCCATCTTATAATACCATTGCAATGATTCAAGAGAATAAACAGACACATCACATACCTTTCTTACTGCATCGAGTGTCCCAGATCATGATATTTCCATCCCTTCCTCCAGTACAGAACACAGCTATAAAATACAAAATTAGAGTACTTCACTAAGAAAACAGATCATGTTGATTAAACCTTATTTAGTAATTCCTCAAATGCATTCCTTGGACCAGAGCTGTCAAACTCCCGGCCCATGGGCCGGATGCATCACATGCTGGCCATGCCCACACCCAGTTTAGCAAAGGGAAAAAAAGTCCTGATGTCACGTAATATCACCATGACAACCTGAGTTTGATACCCCTAATTGGACTAATAGAAGTCCATAGAAATTTACTTTAGCCTTAGTATGCTCACAGGCCAGAGCCCATTTGCTACCTTAGCCTTACTTCGTGGAAGGCACTCACACTCCACTAACAGCCGATCTATTCAGACCTTGCCTTCTTGAATCCCCTGATAACTGTGTTCTTATTTTACCGACCTCAGAAGGATGGAAGGCTGAGTCAACCCTGAACCAGTGAGGATCGAGCCTCTGGTAGTGAGCAGTCAGCCTGTTGTCAACTCGCGAAGCTTTCCTGACGTGCTCCCGAGTTGCCATAGGCAGGGGAATGGGAATTGCACGTTGCAGCTACACCAAGGAATTCACACCTCAGTCAAAACAAGATACAGCCTACCTGGGCAAAGCCAAGGCCATCTCCAAAGAAACCCGCAAGGCTGGGGGGAGTAATTTCTACAACCTGCAAAACTGCTTCATTGGGGAATGTGACTGATCACAAACTCTGGAGGGAGGGGGAAACAAGGTCAGAGGCAAGGCGCTTCACCTTGGTAGTGCCAACATGGTGCTCCTAATAAACAACTGGATTTTTCTTGCTAAATGGCTTGAAACTCTTAATTACTCTAAATACTATTTCAAGCACTAAATATATTTTGTATTTATAAACGCAGATGTTCTGTTGTATTCTTTCAAAGTAGTATGATTATATTCCTTTGCAATTTTTGAGAGATTTTTCAATTCTATCTTAAGTTTTTCAAAAAAATATCTTTGAGAAATGATTGCTTTTGTAAACATAATGATGGAGTATTAGACTGAGATTTCTATCTTAATTATCCTTGCTAGTTCCTCTAAGAACATGATAGCAGCATACTTTACAATTTATAAACTATGAACATTGCCGTAACGATGGCACTGTAATAGTATTGTTTTCCATATAACTCCCAAATTCCTATGCTCCATAGTTTTTACAGTAATTTGCCCCCCCCAAATCTATTAAAGAACAGAATATTCATCTTTTTAAAATTTATTTTGCAATATTTACCTTTTTCAAATTTAGAAAAAGCAACTGATTTGAGACTGCACTGATGTCCTTTGCACACTCCCAAGAGTTCACCAGTCTTTATATCCCACACTTTTGCAGTTTGATCCCCTGAAGCAGTAACCTTAAGATATATGAAATGAAGTGTTAATTCAATATTATGTATATTTGCTCAAAAATAAACTCCTGCAAGTTTAGGGGAAAGTATCAGGTACATAGATGGTTAAATACATGTAAGACATGTACATATACTAGGTATACAAAGTATAGATATACAAAGTATAAGAGATGTACAGGTGGTCCTGAATTTACGACCACAATTGAGCCCAAAATTTATATTGCTGAGACAGATGTTAAATAAGTTGTGCCTCACCTTTCCTGCCACAGTTAAGTGAATCACTGCAGTTCTTAAATTAACATCACAGTTAAGTGAATGTGTCTTCCCCATTGACTTTGTTTTGTCAGAACTTTGCAAAGGGTGACCACATGACCATGGGACACAGCAACCATCATAAATATGAGTCAGTTGGCAAGTATCTGAATTTTGATCACATTACCATGGGGATGTTATAATAGTTGTGTGAAAAACAGTCGTAAATCACTTTTTTCAGTGCTGTGTAGGTTTGAACGATCACTAAATGAACTGTTCAGGACTACATGTAGATTAAAATATAAATAACGCTTCCCAATAACAGATGTGCCAGACACAAATACATTAAAAAATCAAATTCAGAAGGATTATATTGTTGAATCCCATTTTTAAAACAGGTCTAGAATGCAAGATCCAACTGTAACATCACAGATTATCAGGCAGTTCATAGCCCGTTTCTCTCATTAAAGTGAAAGAAAACTGATAAACTTTCAATGAAGTCTAATTCACTGCTATACTGAATGAACTGCTAGTTTTAGCTCTGCCTTTTGCATCAAAAACAACAAACATCTAGTTTAAATTCACATAATGTAATATTTTACCAAGCCAGAGGCAACGGTGAACGGATAGCTTGGTAGCAATTCCAAATATCAAAGGTTTTTTTTTAATTATCTTAACTTTTTTCAGCATGTAACATCCATTTACTGCTTTTATGAACGTCCATAAAAAGCAAACCAGCAGCTAGTTTTAAGTTCCCCATAGTTTCCGATCATGTTTTGTTGTGTTGAATTAAGAAAACACAAGGTATTTAGTGTTTTGTTCCAATGGAACCCAGAGAACATAGATATTTCAATATGTCCTGAGCTAAAACCAAACCTTTCTATATTTCATGATGCATGGCCTAGACTGAGGGTCTTCAAACTCGGCAAGTTTAAGACTTGTGGACTTCAACTCCCAGAATTCCTGAGCTAACATAACTGGAGGAAGAATTCTGGAGTTGTCCACAAGTCTTAAAGCTGTGAAGCTTGAAGACCCTTGGCCTAGATTCTGTCATATCTTTTATCTTCCAAGCTATACTATATTACTAAGTCTACTAATGATCTTGCTGGAATATGAAGCCAGAAAAAGCATAATAATGTATTGCAAGTAACAGAAACAATTAGAGGGAATAACATAACCCAAGATTGAGTGGTATCCATGTAATAAAACAAACAGTTGTGATTTACAGTACTCACAATTTTGTGTTCATAGGGCGTCCATGCAAGATCAAACACAGCATTTAAATGAGCTTGCCATTCTGAAATGAAAGTAAAGTATTAGATCTAAATAAACCAAATTCCTTGTAATAAAAAAAATCCACATATGAAAAATGAAGACTATTACTGTCATCAAATTTACAAAGAACAGTACTACAATCTAAATACAGTATTAAAAAATACCCTCTACAGGCTACTACTTTTATCAAATTATCCAATTTATATGGTCCAAATACAAGCCTTTTTTTTTACCTTTAACGATTTTTCTGTCGCTCAATTGTGTACGGGTATCATACAGCCTAACAAATCCCTCTTCATTGGCAACACCAAGTATATATTGCACATCTGGAGCTGAAAAATAATGTAATATTTTTATTTTAAAACCTTTTGTATGCTTTTTAATAGTATACAATTTTTCTGCATCAGAAAATTACTGTCATATATTCTAAGTGTTAATCATACAAAACACAAAATAAGTATTCTTGTAAATACCAACTTTTTCCTTTTCAGAATCAGGGGTGGGATGCTACTGGTTCTGCTCGGCTCTATAGAGCCAGTAGCTCTGCAGAGCAGCAGACACTGAACCAGTTCTGTGTTTGCTGCTGTTTGGCCCACCTGCCCGCCCGGGCTCTTACCTGTCCTTTCCTGCTTTTTCAACCTCACCTGCTTTGCGCGACACAGCTGAGGTTGAAAAAGCAGGAAAAAAGAGGCTTTCCAAATGCTGCGCACCTGCGCACAGTGCTTTTCAGCTGTCCGGGCAGCACAGCTAAAGTTTTTTTTACATGCATGCGCGCAAAATGTAGTCACTGAACCAGTAGTAACACCGGTTGAATTCCACCACTGCTCAGAATAGACAAACCAGCTACTCTGAAAGTTTAATGTAATAATTAAGAAACTATTTTGAAAGGCTGGCTATAACTAGGCAAGGGGAATTCACCTAATGAACATAAACAAGTTCTCTTTCTCTACATCCTTCTGACAGCTGCTTTCAAAAGAGAAATGGATTGGATAGTCTATTTCTTTATGCATTAATTGCTTTACTTTTCCAAGATTACTTACTTTCCTACCTTTGTTGAATTTGGAAAATGGCTGAGCAAAAGCAAATTTGATGGTGGATAGTGTATATTTTTTTCATTTTGTCATGGAAATACATATTTATGGATAGCTGAAAAATAAAAAGCATCCTAGGAAAATATAATGGCAAACCACTTCTGTATTGCAAGGAAAAGTGTAGGATGTTTTCCACTCAGAAAGTAATTGACTCTACATAATTTACCAAACGTTACCAAAAGTTGTCCAGCATGTTGTTTCATCCTTTTGGCTAGGGAATCTTTCACAGTCTAGTATATGCCAGTTTGCTTGGACTACAAATCAGATTTTTACTTTTCCATTGACCATGATGGGTTTGTATTATAGTACACACAAAAAATAAAATTAGATATCACCACATTAGAAAAGTCTACCTTTAAACCAACATAATGACAAACCTTACAGATGAGGCATTACTTTACCTGTTGAAAAGCTACAGCCAAAAGGAGGAACTGGAATTTCCATTTCTCCATAGGAATGATGGTCATCTTCCTTAATACACTGATACTTCCCTAATAGATGGTGTAAGGAAAATCTTGGTGCCAAACCTATCAAAAAAGAAAGTTCATAAGACAGATAAGTTTATTTTATTTTAATTTTTTTTTACTGGCAGTAATAAAACAATGAATTAGTAATACGCAGAAACACCAGCAAAGAACTTCCCCAAACACCACATATCCACATGTAGAAATAAATGTAGAGTAGGGGTGTCAAACTTGTATCATCACACAACGTATTGGGACTTCCCCGCCTTGCTAAACAGGGCATGCGCAGCAAGTGAAGCATCTGGCCGTGAGTTTGACAGCCCTGATGTAGAGCTTTCCTGAACTTCAACTTCGTACAACCCCAAGACTTGCAGGAATAGCCAGGTATTTACATCTTTTGGGAAGGTGGGGCTTGAAATGTATTCCAAAGGGCATTTTTTAAAGCAATATGTGAAAAGCTGACAAGAATTCTGCAATCAGGTTTATAAGTTTTCTTCATGTATCACCATTAAACACTGCTTGACATTATATTCTCCCTCAATGTGTCTCCTAAACTACCTGTGCCTTCAAAGTATACTGACTACCTAGTTCTCTCGTCCTCAGTCTCCATTGATCAGGTCCTATGGAAATGCTAGTTTATGTAGCACCCAGTAGGCCAAGTTATCTCTCCCACTGTTCAAACATGGGTTTTGCTGAACAGCATGTTTCTCTGATCCACCTCACCCGCCCCTCTAAGTATTGTATTTTTTTAAGTGCTTTATATTATAAGGTCTACAATATACAGTATCCGGATTGAGACATCAACATACTTCTGCCTACTATTTATCTTCATTTCAATGGGGCCGGTTGGGGCTTGTGAGTTGAGCCATTTAGCTGTGTTGTCCTGACTGCCCAAAGTCATTTTTGGTGAAATGGGCAGCTATACAAACTTAATTGACAAATGTATGATTAACGGATAAAGGATTTTCTATTTATGCCAGAATGACCATAAGGGGAAAAGAGAACAGGGAAGAGCAGGCATGCCTCCCTCATTCCCTCGAGGAAGTATAAGAGTTAAAAAGAAAGCTGAGCTTAAAAGACCAGTGGAGCAGCAATAAGGGTTATTATATTTTGATCCCCCCCAGTCTTCTAACTCAAGGCAGAGAGCATACCCTGATATTCCTTCCTATTTTCGCCAGAACAATCCTGTGAGGTGAGTTGGGCTGAGAGTGGCCGAGCCAAATTTATCCAGCTGGTTTTCAGCCTAAGGGCGGCTTGGAATTCGGAGTCTCCTGGTTTATAAACCGCTTATACCAAACTGGCTCTTATCAGGAACGAGGGGCTTCCCAACACTTACCCTGCGGTCCGTCCTGGCAACGACGGACTAACGAACGACACAGCATCACAACAACGCCGGCAGCCTGACGCTCTATTCTCCCAGCGCGCTGAGCCCGCGGAAAAAAGAACAGCTTCTCCACAAGTTCTCCCGCCAACCCGAAGTCCGCGCCAAAGACATTTTTCTACAGCTATTGGCTACCCTGACGGCAAGAAGCCACGCCTCCTCTTTTCCATTGGCTTCTCCTCTCCCACCGCAAGAGCCCACCCCGCCCTTATACCGAGACATTAGTTTTTATAAACCAACCGGGGTTTTTTTGAATTGCGCATGCGTAACAATTTTCCCACCTCCTGCTCGTGCGATAGCCGATCTTCCGGAAAGGGTAATAATCCGCGTGCTAGCAAGGGGCGCGACTGCGCAGGTGCCTAAACCTGGGGGTTCTGCACAAGCGCAGATAATTACTGCTTGAAACGGAAAAGAGAGAGCACTAAGACTTTGTTTTCATGTCTGTGTAAAGCAAAATAAAGCGCCATTCCACAATTCCTTTCAGAAAGTCCTTATATAACGGGGAATGGCTTCCGTTTCCAAATCCTTCCTCGCCGATGCCGGCTATGGGGAGCAGGAATTGGACGCCAATGCCGCACTCATGGAACTGGATAAAGGTAAGTCAAATGGGGGGGGGGGGGGATGGAGTGTCCCGTGGCAACATGTGCGCATGCGTGCACTTTATAAAGGAAGTCCCGCCTCCTCGTGTTGCTTTAAGTGCAATCTATGTATTGGGCCAGTTTTGCAGGAGGACGGAGTTGCTTTTGGTTGGAGCGGAAGCCTTGGGATTTCTTAAGATTACCAGTTTTATCGTGCATTTTAAGATGCCACGAGCTTCTCTGTCAGTTCCCGCGCCTTAGCGTTCTCCACCGTTGCAATTCCCATCCAAGGCAATTCCCAGTTTTTCTAAACTGATCGTCCCGAGTTATCTAATTATCTCAGCCAACGAATATCCTGTGTGGTGCAAGTGCGATTAAGTCACGTCTGTTTTACCATAGAACAGCATGAGCTTATTTAGTCAAGTCATCCCCCCCCCCCGCAATGAAGGAATTTAGATTAAATCCCAGATTGGGCCTCTGAATACATAACTTGAAATGCATTATCTGTTCTTGGATACAATTAAGCAAGTGCTGTCTTGTCCCAAAGACAAAAAAAAATTTAACCGCAGGAGCTGCTTACACTCCATCCCATCTTTTGCAACGGGAGTATAAGACAAAATTTGACTACAATACTAAATTTACAGTTCCTGTTTGAGTAGCAGGTGGCAAAAGGAAGGGAGAAATTTGCAAATGTTTTACATAAATAAATTCGGATGCAATGGTTAATTTATCACACCATTTCTTGCCAGCTGTACTTTGGTTACATGGATAGAAAAGATTTAATACATTCTTTTACCTTTGAGCTAAAGACTAAACACTTGAATTTATCTTTATAGAAAGAGCTAAGTGTTTTTTTGAGCATGGAGAGTAGCAGAAAAGATCACTGCTCAGTTTAAGAGGTTATTTGAATCACTTCAAATTTATGTTATTGAATTATGGATTCATATTCTTTTTTTATGTTTATGAGCTGCTTCTTTAAAGGTATAACATCATTCTTAAAATTCTTAAGCCCCAAGCTTTAAAATAAAGCAGAATATAAACTGGATAGTTTTCTTTTTAAAATAATTTATTAAACATTACATTAAAAAGCTAATACAAACTAGGAAAAAGAAAAATAGGAAGTGCAGAAAAAAGATGAAAGAAAAAATAATATAATAAAGAAAAGAAAAAAATGTATAAATAAATGATTTTCCTTCATTACAAGTATAAACAATAAAAAGATCAGTTTTCAGATATCTAGCCCAAGGCTTCCATATGTGGTCAATGCTTATCCAACTACTATCAGAAATCATTTCATTAGGAGCATTTAATCTAATTTCTTTCTTTCTTTTTCTCTCCATCTCCCTCTCGTTCTCATACCCAGGATGCACTGGAGTAGCAACATAAACTTAGGGAAGGGTGTGTGTGTCAAAATATGCAAGGTGCCAGGCATGCCATTGATTGCGCCATCATTTGATATGCGGTGATTTGTAGTTATGTAGATTTTGACCTTCAGGTTTTCACTCTCCCTGTAGATGCTCCTGTGCTGGACTAAAATCCAGAACCAATATTAACACTAGCACTATTAATAAATATGAATACACTAGCAGAGTAAAAAGTAAACCAAACAACAATATACAAGCGCACCAACTAGAATAAAGTGATCACAGCGGTACAACTACACAGTGGCATAAGAGGCAACTTTGTTATCTGAATTCTTTCTGCATCATGACAGAAATCCAGTTGGGAGCAGCTGGAGAAACACCGGATTTTTATTTCTAGCCCTCTCTAGGAGCAGGGGAAGGGTCTTTCTGATGTATTACTTTCTCCCATAGGACTTCTTCAGTGGAGATGGGGCTGAAAATTGTGTCCTATGCAGGCTTGTTCAAGTGAATGAACTGCATTGTGTAGAATTTTAAAAATAAATGAATTGAATGTATTCCTTTATAATTTTAGTCCATGCTCAAGTCATATATATTGTCTCTTAGACAAATATTTTTGCTGTGCTGTGTTATTATTTGTCATAGGTCTTCGATCTGGAAAGTTGGGAGAACAGTGTGAGGCTGCTGTCCGTTTTCCAAGACTCTTTCAGAAATATCCATTCCCAATTTTAATTAATTCAGCATTTTTAAAGCTAGCTGAATTTTTCAGAGTTGGGTGAGTGAATGTTTTTTCTTTCTTAATTTTAGTACTCTAGTAACTGCATTGTTTTCTATTTAACCCGTGGTGATCTTTTCTTAGCTGCTTTGGAATTGGGATTGCTGGAAGATTCTTCATTTTAAGTCTTGTATTTTTCATAAAATTATGAGTGGTGTAATTGGCAAGATTTGCAATTTTGACTATTTTTAAATATATTTAATTCTGAAACTTTTATTTGATGTACACTCTTTATGTTTGCTAATAGTTTGGAACTGATCAGTACAATTATAATCAATTAAACACGTTAAATATATTTTTTGAAACAGTAACAACTTCCTGAGGCTGTGTATTCTGAAAATGACCCAGCAAAGTGAGAAGCACTTGGAAAAGATCCTGAACGTGGATGAATTTGTGAAAAAAATATTCTCAGTTATTCATAGCAATGATCCAGTTGCTCGAGCAATCACATTAAGGTATGCCTGTTTATCAAGGAAGGCGCCCAGAGGCTGCCCATTCATTCATTCATTCATTCATTCTAAACTACCCATCTCCCTCAAAGAAGTGCTCTGGCCAGTGTGCAATATGTAATTGATAAATAAAGCAAGATATAAAAATTAACATTAAAATTAAGATAGGATTAAGAAAAATACTTTTCCCCAGCATTGCTTATTATTATGAAGGTTTTATACTGAATTCTTCTGTTTTATTCTCCAGGATGCTAGGCAGTATGGCTTCCATTATCCCCGAGAGGAAGAACGCACATCACAGTATTCGCCAAAGCCTCGACTCTCATGACAATGTTGAAGTTGAAGCTGCCATTTTTGCTGCAGCCAATTTTTCTGCCCAGTCCAAGTAAGGACAACACCTGGGATGTGTTACTTGTTCCTAGTTAGCAAGCAATTAATCCTTGATATCTCAATAGACTTTACATTATTTTCTTATTCATTTCTTTTCATTATTTTCTCTGAGGGAGATGGGTGGTTTAGAGATATGAGATATAAACAATAAAATAAAATAAAATTTGGCAATTTTTACAAAAATGTCAGTACAGGTAGCTCTAGGGTTACAACAGTTCATTTAATGACAGTTCAAAGTTATAATGGCACTGAAAAAAGTGACATGACCGCTTTTCACACCTATGACCATTGCAGCATCCCCAGTCACATGATCAAAATTCAGGTGCTTGGTAACTGACTCATATTTATGACGCTTGCAGTGTTCTGGGGTCATGTGATTCCATTTTACAACCTTCTGACAAGCAAAATCCCACCATTGTAGCATTCTTGGGAGCTTGGTAATTTCTGACTTTTACCCCAGATCAAGCATAAAGGGAGAGAGAGAGAGGGAGATTGAACAAATAATGTTACTAAATAGTCAACTACTATTAAATAAAATATGTAGGAAAACTACATGCAAAGTCCTGTTCATGCAACAGTTTGGTATGGTTGACTTACCATTTTCTTTGGTTTCTTGATGTATTCATTATTTTATGTACACTGATTTTGTTTGTAAAGAAACATACAAACTTTAATCTGATAATATCAGTTCTAATAGTATACTCCAAAAGAAAATATGATGCTGCCAGTTTATTATTATTTTGATTCATGATATTTTTCCTTCTTCACAGAGATTTTGCAGGAGGAATATGTAACAAAATAAGTGAAATGATTCAAGGTATGTGCTCTTTGGATTTTCTCCTTGTATATTTATACCTGCCTTTGAGAGAGTTTTTAAAAAGTGGTAATTCTGTTATTTAAAATATTTCAATTTTGAACTAAAATTTTGGAAATTCCAGCTTAATCAAAGGGGCGAGAGTTTGCTGGGTAAAGATTTTGTCCACTTTAATCATATGTCTTGATTTTCTTTGGATGTAATACAAAGTATTTCTGAGGTTGGTATTTCAAGGAAACATCTTATTGTAGGTATTGTGAAAGGATAGCTATGTTAATCTATGGTAACAAAATCAAAAATGTGATAGCACCTTTTCAAATTTAAAAATAGTAAACATTGAATAAATTAACATTATTAATGAATAAAATATTAATAAAATGTGCTAGTTTGTAAAGATTCGTTATGATTAAAGGAAATCTATATTTTATTTCTAATGTTATATAAAAAGACAAAACCTGAGCCAAATTCTTGATGGCTTTATGGAGGCATAACAGAAGTATTGCCTTTTGGAAAGTCTTGTAATTTTTCAATAACCTACAACTGAACCTTGCCAGTCTTGCTAGTCTTTTAAAATCAGCCAAAGTTGACAATAATAATGAAGGAAAGTTTGTGAACTCCTTAAACTATAAATATAAAATGCAGTGCTGCGTGTGATCATAGCTTCACCTAAATCCTGTCAACTGGTAAATTCTGGTTAAACAAAGAACATACGAAACAGTATCCTGTACCATATCTTAGTTAACATCTGTAATAATCACAAGCTAGCATTTATTGTTTACTAGAAAACACTTTTTTTGATTTAGTAACTGTGGCACCTCCTTTAGCTGAGTGTTTCAACAAAATATTTTGTGTACCTGTTGCTGAACCCTACACATTGGAGTCCTTTACGTCAGTAAGGATATTGTTGGTTATAATGTTACTTATTGAAGGGTTCACAAATCTTCTCATTACCTAGTTGGGTATATAGTATAGTAATCCTTTTTAGAGCTGTATTTATTATTTTTTCAAAATTTTGTTTCATGACCTAGAGTGGATGTTAGTAACCTGCGGCTCGTGAGCCAGGAGTCACTCTTTAACCCCTCTCCTGCAGCTCTCTGCCAACCTGGTCATACGACCTGCTCCCTGGGTTTAAATTTCCCTATGAGATTTAAAACTTCCCTGAAGGACTTTTTTCAATCATCGCTCCGCTCCACTCTGCTCGCTTGAGGAGGGTATCCCTGCTTGTGCACGCTCTCCCGGCCCTGAAACAGCCAGCCAGGGTCCTGCGTAAGGTTGTCTTCGGGGAAGCTGCGGTGGCAGCTTGTGCTCCTCCAGGGCCGGCTTGCTGAGGAGGGAGGAAGCAGCCCTGATGCCTCCACTGGCCACCACCCCCAACAGACCCAGCACTGCCCGGCTTCCTCAAAGGCACAGCATGTTTTAAAGGTGGCAGCTCATGGCAGTGTCACCTTCAGGGAAGAAAGGAGTAGCGAAGAGCCAAAAGGACACAGAGATAGAGAAGAAGGAGAGAGAGAAAGAGAGAAATGAGAAAATAATGGAGGGAGAGGGTGAGAGAGAGGAAAAAGAGTGAGAGAAATGAGAGAGAAGGGGGAGAGGGAAAGAGAAATGAGAAAATGATGGAGGAAGAGAAAGAGAGAGGTAAAAGAGAAACAAATGGGAGACAATGGGGAGGAAAAGAAAGAGAGGGAGGGAGAGGAAAAAGAGAAAAACCAGAAATGAGAGGGAGGGAAAGAGAGAAAAAACTGGGAGCCACAAAACCTGGGTAGGTGTGGTGGTGGGGTGTCATGTGACTGGGTGGGGGTGACATTGAGTTGGCCACACCCACCCAGGTTTTGTGACTCCCAGTGTTTTCTGTGGGAAATGGCTCCTAATGGCTCTTTTGAGTGTTTAAAGTTGCAGAACCCTGACCTAGGGAAAGATTTCAGTATGATTCAGATGCCACAAGTCATTTACAATGGAAATTAACTTCCACATGCTCATTTTTCCTCCAGTATGGCTATGATCCATTTTTGATTAAGCAAGCTTCTTGTTTCATCTGAGCGAACAGGAATTCATTTTAAGCTTCAAAGTATGACTTATGACGCTGGCTTCTTTCAACAAATTACAGATAAAATTATCTGACACCACATGAGGGAATAGTAAATTGTGTGGATACTGTGTTTAGTTGAAGGCTTGTGTCTTAACTTGCTTATCAGTAAAATAATTATTGGATTACAGTGGGAATGTGGTAATTTCAGCTTGTATCTAAATAGAGACACAGCCTGAGGACATCCAAGGAGGAATGCTTTCTCATTTGAATTTCTTGGGAGCATAGAAAATAGAATGTTTTGTTTTAATGCTAACATATTGCTTTCTGAGTGGCTGACTCCGCCAACTCATTTTAGAATAGGTGTTTATATTACCCATTATTATTGCTTTATATATCAAAACGTGTATACATGGTTCATTGTTGATACAAGCAACAGTGTAGGCCATGTCCTTGAAACCTATTGTTTCACCCCTACGGTCCTAATTTCAGTGGAAGCAGTGGGCTGAAAAATTGAACTGCATAGTCTGCCCTGTAGCTGCAATCCTGTAATAGCAGTGCTACCCACATTTTTAATATTTTTGGCATGTCCTATAATACTTCTACAGGTACCCTCCAATTTGATTGTGGTTTATTCAAAAAGCTATTTTATTTTAAACAGGTTTAGCCACTCCGGTAGATTTGAAACTGAAGCTGATCCCTATTCTGCAGCATATGCACCATGATGCCAACCTGGCTTCCAGTGCACGACAGCTGCTCCAACAATTGGTGACATCTTATCCATCTACTAAGATGGTCATTGTGACTTTGCATACATTTACCTTGCTTGCTGCCTCTTCTCTGGTTGATATTCCCAAGCAGGTAATCCCATTATTTTTTTAGTGGGTTTTTTTTTTTTGAAAGCACACAGTGTTTAGATGTACAAAATAAATGAACTTATCATAGGTAAGTTGAAGAAATTTTAAGGTTCTGGATGGCATACAGTTTAATCAATGCAATGGCACATCGGTACTCAACCATTGTAAAAACTCATTCATTTTGGTATTCGATGCATTTTGATGGAAACATTTTGAATTGAATTGAATTGAATTCTTTATTGTCATTGTATGTATATACATAGTAGACATACAATGAAATTCACATAACACCCAGAGACCAGACCCAACACGCACACTCATGACAATCCCCAAACACCCCCCCCACCTGCCAAAATTCCCTGCCCCCTAAAAACACACAAGCATCCACACAACAGACCAAGTAATACTGTCCACCAGCTCACTGGTGGTGGTCCTTAAGTTCATCGTTAAGTGCAATTATAGCTCTGGGATAAAAACTGTTCAGAAAATGTGTGATCCAAGTTTTAATTGTTCTGTATCTTCTGCTAGAAGGCAACAATTCACAAAGATTGTAAGTAGGGTGGGAAGAATCTCTGAGAATGTTGTGCAACTTCCTCAAACAGCGAGATGCAAAGATGTCATACAGGGCTGGTACCTGGAGCCCAATGATATTCTGGGCAGTTTTAATGATTCTCTGTAGAATCATTTTGTCCTGGTACTTGCCATTTTTTTTGGTACTTGACATGCAAACTAGAATGTGGCGCTGTTGGTTGCCTTGTGACTTGCTACTCTTTCCAGCTGAAACAAAGGGTCATGTGTTAAGTCATGTGCTTTGTTTGGTATTCATTGTTTTTAGTACTTAGCACGCCTCCCGGAACCAATTAATAAGTACCACTGTAAAATAAAACATTAAAAACCAAATAATTTTACATTTAAAAAATAAAAAATGTAAAACAACATTATAAAGTTAAAATAATAATAATAATGGAGAGTTTCAAGAAAGGGAAACGTCCTTGTACTTGCAACTTTATTAAAAAATCCAATGAAATGAAATTTCATTTTAAAGTCTTTTTTTAACAGATAGAACTCTTACTGCAGTACATGAAGAATGACCCAAGAGAGGCTGTAAAGAGGCTTGCTATCCAAGATTTAAAGCTGCTTGCAAAAAAAACTCCACATACTTGGAGCAATGAGAATATTGAGGTATACAAACAGCATCATGTTTTGTAATGGTATGTGGGAATGACCTTGGGAGACAGGGCAAAGAGAGGCAGCCAAGGGAATGGTCAAATAAAAGGCAGCTGAACCCATTGCAAGAATGTGGGACAGCAGAAGGCTCAGAAGAGACCCTCCCTAGTTTTGTGGCTGTAAAGGGGTTGGGAGCAGGAGAAATACCTGCAGACTTGCAAGTTTCTATAATGTAGTTTTACAACAAAGTAGAATTGGCTCATCTGATTGTGTTTTTTATCTGGTCCATCTAGTAAGGCTGAGGTGCTTGCTTTGGGATTGATCATTAAAAGCTGCATTGCTAAGGCCTTGCATTGGGCAGGAAATGATTTGACTTACATATAAATAAATATGCATAGAATTGTGTATGAAGATTTGCTTAATATATCAAATCAATATAAATCTTGAAATAACTGTGTGTTCTTTCAGCGCATAGTGTTTTGGCTTACCCTGCTATTCAAATATATTCGACATGTATTATTTCTTTGCTCATGTTTGATGTAGGTCTTTTCTTAAAAAAGAGTTTTCTTTTCTTTTTCTTTATGCTGATCCATAGCTATTATTTTATAAGGTTCTGAGGTCCTGCATGGTACAACTTCAGCACTGTGATGGCATATAGTGACAGTGAGTTTATTTGATCAAAAGTGGCACAGGTTTTTTTTTTGAGGGGAGGCTAAATAAATAGAGTTTAAAATATTGCTGACATCATCCAAAATGGTAGCTTTAATACATGAGCTCCCCCAGTAGCCTCATGGAGGTGTTAAATAGGAGTGGAGAGAGCACTGAATCCTGCAGCAATCCACATAGTTGGGGCTGAGAAAAGGATCTTTCTGCCGCTTTCCCCATCAACTGGTATTGGCTTCAGAGAAAAGAGGCAAGCCAGCACAACACAGTGCCACCCCCCCCCCCCAATCCTCTGAGCCAATCCGGAAGGTTATCATGGCTTTCGGTGATATTGAAAGCCCCAGAGCTCAAGTAGGACAAGATGAATGCACAACCCCCATCTTGCTCTCATCAGAGATCATCCAAAAGTGTGACCAGTGCCATTTCTCTCTCATACCCAAGTCTGAATCCTGACTGAAAGGGATCCAGACTATTTTTTCTTAATCATTTTTCTCTGTGTAATGTAATAGGTTAAGCATAGAAGGGATACTATATTTTATGCCACATTCACAGAACCATTTTTTTTATAAACAGTACAACCTCATTTAGTAGTATCAGTGTGGATATAGGTTGTCTCTGTTAAAAGTTTCAGAATCCATGCTTATTTAAGGAATGATAGTTTACTGTTCTCACAATGAATATCAGTGCTTTTTTTTCTTTTATATGTATGGTATTTTTCAATGTATAAGACGCACTCCCCCCCCCCCCAAAAAAAAGTGGGTGGAAATGTCTGTGCATCTTATAGAGCTAATGTTGCCGAAGCCCTGCCTACCCACTGGCCCCCACCCTTCAGCCTCGGCCTCCCAGCAATTTGCCTGCAAACCAGTGGTGGGATTCAAATTTTTTTACTACCGGTTCTGTGGGCGTGGTTTGGTGGGCGTGGCAGGGAAAGGATACTGAAAAATCTCCAGTCAGAGGTGGCATTTGCTGATTCTCCAAACTACTCAAAATTTCTGCTACCAGTTCTCCAGAAGCAATCAGAACCCGTTGAATACCACCTCTGCTGCAAACAGTTACTAAATGAAGCAGTAACTAAATGAAGATTGCTTGTAAGCAAAACAAGACTGAAAGCTAAGAGACCCCTGAAAGGGATAGGTGAAATAGAAGCTCCAAACTATAAGATGCACCTAAATTTTGGGGAGGAAAACAAGAAAAAAAAATCTGCCTCTGCCTCCCAGCAATTTGCCTCCTTGCAGCAAACAGCAAACAGCCTGGTCAGCTTCAGCACAGCCTGATTTAGCACAAGCAGCTGATTGGCGGTTGGATCCACCTCCCGGAATACCGATGATCATCAGGTTGCAGGGATCACCATCACCTATTGCTGCCTCTGCGTACCCCATTTTTGGCCTCTTATAGTCCGAAAAATACAGTGTATCAATCATCTCCTGTTCCTTTCCTTTCTCCCTTTTTTCTCTTTACTGTCTCTCTCTTATTTTATTTCACCTATCTCTTTCAAGGGTCTCTTAGCTTTCAGTCTTGTTTTTCTTAAAAGTAATCTTCATTTAGTTACTGCTTCATTTAGTGACTGTTTGCAAGTGCTGCAGGAATGAAGAAGTAACTTCGTGTCCAATCCTTTCATTTACAACTTTTATGGGTCTGCAAAGCAAAGGAAACCTGAAATAAGCTCATAAACACAGTTCCCGTTTTACTTTGCAACCTCTTTGCTTAATGGTGCAATTATTGGTCCAGTTGTGGCTGTTGTGACTACCTATTGAAGGAAATAGCTATTTAGTTGTTAAACCTTTATTCCACTTTTGTTTCATATGATTCAAATTGATGTACATAATGCTTCATTCTCCTATTTTTTCCTACAACAGCTCTTTATTCTGTGAACTATTATGTAGAAATATTTGATGGCTCCTTTCCTCTCAGTTGAAATCTTACATGCTCTGAAGTGATTTGATTTTCATCTGTTATACACTGTTAAGTCTGGAACGTGCTTATAATATTTTCTGAGCTCAAGCTGTAAGAACCACAAGAAAAAAAAGGTGTCGGTGCACTAGACTAGATAATCATAATCAGAAGGTGGGAGTAGGAATCCACAGGTTTGCAGAACTATAAAAAGCTATAGAGAAAACTGGTGAAATGGTGCATTCCAGTGAAACAGTCTAAAGAGTGAGCTCAGGAGTACAGAAAATGGATTCCTGCTGGGCTGTAACAGGAGGGGGAATAGACCGTAATAGAGAATGCATCATGGAGGAGGTAAATTGGTTCAGTTAAAACAGTGAAAAGGAACGCTTTGTCATGCAGATCCTAATATGTGATTCTTAAATTTGTATACAAGTGAGAATTATTTCCAGTAGTAAGGGTTATTATGAAGAGATAACATGCCATTGTTAAAATACGTGGATTGAATTTTGTAACCAAGAGAATTATGATTGGACTGAATTATTTTATGGTTATTTTTAATCTTCCTTATAATATACTCCTCCGGTGAACTTGTGTCTTTGATGTGGCACCTGAAAGTTTTAAGTGTCTGGATAGGACATATCCTTCTGAGAAGGATATTTGCCACTAACTTCTGCTTAAACTTCCTATGCAGGCTGAATAGTTTCTGTAGTATATTTAAGTCACTGCATTTGAAATTAAAACATAGGACTCATTTATTTAATCATATTTTGCTCCTAACTAGTGAAAAATATATAATGTAACCATTCTCAATACGGCACATTTAGGTGTTACAAATTTTGGATGACTAGAAATGTTATGACTGGCCTACTAAGAAGACATATATGGCCTGCTTTTTTTTAAAGTGTTGCCTGACATTGCATTTCAACTCGGTGTTTCATTGTCTTGTTCTTCCATAGTTAAGCAACTATAGTTGAATATCTTGGAAGTAAAGTGCAAGGTTTCCTAACGTGCTTTACTGCCTTCCCTTTTTCTCCTTTATAAGTCAATTATTTAAAATAGTATTTCCCATTATTCATACATAGGAGATCAAAGAAGCTTTCATTATTTCTGGAATCTGTTCCTTAACCAGTATCATTTAATTGTGGTTGTTTTTAAAAGAACTTTTTGCCAGTCCATTGTGTTAAGTTTCCAAATAGGAAAATTTTGTCAGGAAAGGATTACAAATTAGATTACAATTTTTAAAGCAAGCATGCTTCGAACAAAGCTGACAGCTGATTTCTCATGACAATAAATATTGAAGAGGAACATTAGTTATCACTTTGTAGATCATAATCAGTTTTATAAAAAACACATCCATCTGATACCATCTTCATTTTGTTAATTTCAGTAACTCAGCTCAGTAATTCTGTCTTTTGGTCACTATATTGAAGATTTATTAAATATTTATAGCCCTCTAGTAAAGTATCTGCAATGTGGTTTGCTTATATAAAAGCAAAAGGAAGGGAAGGGAAGATATAAAATAAGTAAAAACCTTGAAACTTCCCATGAGATTTATTTTGGCTGCAGAGGTGAATGCTACTGCAAAAATGAAAAATATCCAGCTGATCGTTAAAAAATATTGTAAGGTTGAAGTTCCTGGGAAAATCTATAAGGCACTCTAGGTTATATTGGCTTATTTCCACTCCAAGATTGTAGAAGGCTCTGGTCTTGAAAGTAGGAATCCATTGTTGGAACTCTTCTCTTGAACTTCTGAGACCATTGTTGGAAAAATACATACCTGAATGGACCAGTTGTGTGTGGTGAAAAAGGAAATCTTACTTTAACTTATTTGGAGAACAGGGAGAATAAGATATAGAGTCCTTCTTTTGGTAAACTGTAGAAGTTGGGTCATAATTAATAATGTCCAATAAAATGTAGTATTTAAGATGAGGATGTTGGAGTTAATGCTATAGCATTTGGATCAGCAGAATATGAAAAAGCATCAGAGTTTTACAAAAGTGTAGGGATTTTTACACCTAAAAAATCCTAATTGGGGTTATTTTAAATACTTCTAAACAAATGTTTGCACTAAAAAAAATTCAGATGTTCACCTAAAATACTCCAAAATGCAACTGTCAAGAGGTATTTATTTGTGGATTGCTTTCATCCTTCATATGTCTTGGCACAGTTTCATCTATAGGCTTTGTACCTCTGCAGAGTTCAGATTTGAAAATGGAGAGTTTTTTGCTGAAAACTCTGTGCCCTGCAGGCCAGTTTTTTCTAATATAGCTTGGAATAGGAATTGTAATCCAATTCCATTGAGGAGACCAAGATGGAGAAGAACACTTTGTACCTAACAGAGAAACCCATATTGTCTTGCTCTGTTCATTTTTGCCTGCCATTGCAATATTGCCTTGTGTACAGGGTAATTGTTACAAAACCCAATTATAATGTGCAGGAAGGGCTTTGACCACTCAGTTGTTGTATGATCTCAAAGTATTATTTAAGGTGGCCAATAAAATGCTTGTCAATAGAGGTACTTCACTGACTGAACTATGAATTGTCAGGTGGTAAATAGGTGTATGTAAATTGTTTGGGATTTGATGTAAGATCTGTTTTCTTTAAAACCATTTTTTCCTTGTCTGTCTTTTAGGCCCTGTGTGAATGTGCTCTTCAAACTCCTTATGACAGCTTGAAACTAGGCATGCTATCTGTACTTTCTACTCTGTCAGATACAATAGCCATCAAACAGTACTTCAGCATTGCTCCAGGTATGAATAGATTACATCAGCCTAATCCTGGGGTACTGTTCTTATTTATGTGTTTATTTATGGCATTAACATAAAAAATACTGTTAGTGAGTAGTTGTTTTTCTTGAAAAGTATCCAGTTTATTTTAATCTTGCTGGAGTGTTTTCAGCCATGTTCGTGAGTGAAATTTTCAATTACATTTCTGGTTCACTGTTTGTTATTAGAAATTGCCACAGTCAACAACGTTTAGCAAAAGCTATGGGTATATTGAAATATGTCCTTTGGACAGATTAATTTCCCTGCATTTCTTGTATCTAATCACACAGAATTTCACCAAACCCGCATTCTTTACAAGCTGTTCCCCATAGATGGGTTTATGAGAACAAAAAAATTAAAATAAAATAAAATTAACATCCTCTCCATTGCCAGCCTTAGAATAAGACTTCTTCCACATATTCCCATCACTTATACAGCCAATCCATAAGCAAGCCAAATCCATATTTTAATATTTCTCCAGCTGTACCATCCATACTTGCTCCCCTAGCATTTTCATAAATTCTCAAAGCATTATTTTATTTGTATCTCTTTTTTTCTTGAACATTAATAATTATAGCATTATTTTCATTATTCAAGGTTCAGTGTGTCCCCAAACAAATCTTTAAAATACTTTTTCCGGCTCCATTTCCCCAATTTAGCCACATGTCAGTAATCAAGAGTAGGTTACCAGCCTTAGTTGTATCCATTTGACATGTATTTGCTGCTAACATTGATAAGTATACTTGCCAATTTTGTCAGATTTTGAATGGTATACTCAAATACAAGCAATGTCCACTTTTTCTCCAAGTAACTTCATGCTATCCCAATTAAGCTAAGACTTTTAATCTAGAGATTATCCTGCCAGCCACTATATTATTGTCTACCTTCCACCACTTAGGTGTAGATTCAACATACTAACACACAAAGGATGAGTGTGTATCTATCTGTCTCTTATATATGTATAGCTATTGGCATGCCAGTAATGTTCAGGCATATCAGCGTGCAGAGCTGAAAGCTTAGTTAGTTGAGATTAGGATATGTCCAGAAAACATGATGATAAGTGACCGAGAGATTGACATAACTGTATTTCAATAATACAGTTCTTGTCAATTTATCTTGAAGAAAAAAAATTGTACCATTACACAGGGATACTTATCAGCATTATTTTTACTCACTCTGTATCTTCCCAGAAAATCCTCTCTGCCAACTGCCTGTCGACTTTTGAAAATCCACTTGCAGTTTTTTTTCTCATTCATTCCCTGAAAAATTGTGATTCATGTCATTTCTCAGTTGACAAGAGACTGTTATAGTTTGGATGCTTTCATCTACTCATCCCTAGAGATTTGCCATTACTATTAATACGACCAACATCTTAATTTCCCCTTTCCTCTGAAAACTGTAGAAAAAGTGTAATAAATGGTACCATGCTGATTAAAAAATGACCCTTTCCCACCTAGGAACGAAGGCTACTACAGCGAGGTCATCTGATCTAGTCAAGCTTGCCCAGGAAAGCTGTTATCATAATAATCAGAATATTGCAGCACATGGAGTACGTGTTCTGACAAATATAGCTGCTTCTTGTCAAGAAAAAGGTAATCCCAAAAGGTGTAGAAGGAGTAGGGTTTGCAGAACAGTTCGTGACACTCAGCATAGCATGTCATGTTCTCATTTGAGAGTGCAGTGTAAATGTTCCACTAAGTTCCACTGTTTTCTATTGCTTCTTCCTCTTTGCTAATTTGATGAAAAAGAAATTATAAACAATAATGTTGCTTTCCAGTTCCTAACCAAATCTTATAGCCTTTTTCATTACACCACCTTGGCTGCATGCCAGGCAATAAAACACTTACAGATTAAATTGTTTGTGTTTCACTGGAAACACATGCCAATAAGTCTAGAAAGATTAGAATATATTTGTTTTTGGAGTAATTTTGGCTATGCTCTGTTGCGGTGATAAGAGTTCTATACTCCAGGGCAGAGCCTTAAATATACATAATTGTAAATGTAATTTTCCATAGTCCTGCGTATCATAGTGACTTGAATGATTAGTATCTAAAGAATAAAGAATAATCTAGTCTAAAGAAAAGATGGACTAGGGGGTGACATGATAGTATTTGAGGGGCCATCACAAAGAAAAGGCAGTCAACTTAGGCAAGGCAAGAAACAATGGCTACAAATTAATCAAGAAGAGAAGCAACCTAGAATTAAGGTGAAACTTCCTAACAGTGAAGACAATCAACCAGTGGAACAGCTTGCCTTCAGAAGTTGTAGATGCTTCATCACTGGAGGTTTTTAAGAAAAGATTGGACAGCCATATATCAGAAATGGAATAGAAGACCTCCAGGTCCCTTCCAGTTCTATTCAGATTGATTGAAGATAATCTGTCTCTCCCTAGAACTTTTGCCGTTGGAGCAAGATGCAGTCTTTGGCCTTGAATCTCTTCTTGTTCTTTGTAGCCAAGAACCAAGTTCATCTCCCAAAGCAACCTTAAAGGTAAATTGTAAGGTTTTTTTATATTGTTTCTCATACTAATTGATGTAAGAGGGTTTTTCTGTATTTGTTTTATTATGATTATCTGTTACTTTGATAGTTATTTGTTATTTTAGATGTCTTTGTGATTTTTTACTACAATATTTAGTATTTGGGGCTGTTCTGGATTCACAAAAGGTGAAGTTAGTGAACAAGCAATGATACTATTATTTGGAAGAAAATATAGTAATTGCATTTATTCCCAGTATGCTTTCAAATAAAAAAAAACAGTTAATGCTTTTTTAGTCCTTTATATTAGGATGTGGTCTTTCCATTATACAGGCTGAACCTGATCGCCAAAGGAAATTCTTTTTCAGGTCTTGTTAATGGGAGTAGCATATTTTGCAGAGCACAAGAGAGAACCTTATTAGTGATGTTGCTCTGGCTAATGCCAATATTGATTTTATTTTGATGCCAAGATGTGTTCTAGCTCTTCATCCAAATTTTGGGATCATGTAGTTTGACATCAGTGTAATTCTGTTGACACTGAATTGTAGAATCTGCCATTTTGAAATTGTTGTGTTTTTACTGTGTTATTACTCTTTCTGGTTTATTTTTCTTATTGTACTCTCCTCAGTTGTTATATATATATGTATGTATGTATGCATGTATGTATGTATGTTATATATACATATGTATGTCTTTCTCTCTCTCTCTCTCTCTCTCTCTCTCTCTCTCTCTCTCTCTCTCTCTCTCTGTCTGTGTTAATACATGTAAAACCAATGTAAAAAGTTAAGTTTTGGATATAGAGCTTTAAAAGGGCTCAGAGAAAATTTGATGAATTGTCTGTGTTCTATATAAAGGAGAAAGCCAAAGAAACCATATCAGATATGGATCTTTAATAAGTCAGGGCATATCATTTGATAAGTTCTGTCCTTGAAGTAGCCTTCAGATCAGGCCCGCTCCTAGCCCAAATAAAAAAATGTAAACTTTTCTACCTTTTGGAACTTAGATAGGCGAAGACATGTTGAGTTCCTTTTGCCACAACATTTGCCTTGCACTGCCTCTGTAATCAAGGGCTGATGTCAGGTAGACTTAAGAGGTAGAAATGAGAGGACCATGTCAAAGAATCTTTAAAAAAAAAAGATGGGAAATATGTTTGTGCACATCCAAGGAAGTGTCTGTAGAGGCATTCCTACCTATTATTAATACCTACAGAGACATTGCTATTATACCAACTATTAAATATGGAGTCTTCTGCCTTTTGACTAGCCAGAGGTGAAAAAAGATAAAATAGCAATTTATAACTATCAACATAACACTAACCTGTGTTTTAAAATTAGATCCAAATTGATACATTGATTCCCAAATACTAAGAATTACTAAGCAGTTTGCTTCAGATTATTTTGTGTTATAAAAACTGTGGATAGTAGTCCTCAAGTTAAAACCATTCATTTAATGACTGTTCAAGTTATAGCAGCACTGAAAAAAGTGACTTATGACCATTTTTTACGCTTACAACCATTGCAGCATCCCCATGGTCACCTGATCAAAATTCGGATGCTTGGCAACTGGGTCATATTTATGATGGTTGCAATGTCTCAGAGTCATGTGATCGCATTTTATGAACTTCTGACAAGGAAAGTCAATGGGGAATCTAGATTCACTTTAACAACTATGTTACTAACTTGTCAGCTTCAGTGATTCACTGAACAACTGTGACAAGAAAGCTTGTAAAACGTTAACATAGGTTTCGCATAGCATGTTAGGCTCAATAGTGGTCATAAGTTGAGGACTACCTGCAGTGGATAGTATCTTTAAAACAAACACCTAGGGCAGGGTGTCCAACTCAAGGCCCATGGGCCAAGTCTGGACCACGGGGTGCTTAGATCTGCACAAAGGGCCCACTTGCAAGCAGCAAAGGACCCTCCCACGTGGCCCTTCCGAACTCCGTTTTCACTGGCAGAGGTTGCAGGAGGCTGTTGCAGCTGAAAACGGAGCTCGGGAGCCCATTTTTGTTGATAGAGCACTCAGGCCACTATAGGCACCCCCGAAACAAGTGTCGTTGAGCTGGCCACACCCACCCTGGCCACACCATTGTGGCCCCCCAAGGTGAAACACAACTCTGATGCGGCCCTCAGTGAAATTGAGTTTGACACCCCCGAGCTAGGGTATCATGAAAGCCGAAAAGGTGCCATTTTGTGTTTGTTTTTATACAGATAGTACTCACTTGTATTGTGAAGCTGGCCAAGAGTCGCCCCCATCTGAGCCAATCCATTGTGGAGTCCTTGTTGACACAGCTGCCTCGTGCTCAGGATGCTGCGAAAATTCTCATATGCCATTGTTTGGCAGCCATTGCCATGCAATTACCAGTCTTAGGAGATGGAATGCTGGGAGACCTAATGAATCTCTATAAAGTGATTGGTTGTTCTGCTGCCAATAAACAGCAAGAGCTTTTGGTAAGAAATTGTGATTCAGAATATTTCTTCTGGGTAACAAATTAATCTGTTTGGATTCAGACTGAGTCATCTTTTGGGTATGCTTCCTTTGACAGTAATTAGTGAAAACTACTTCATTTTAGTGGGGCGAAGCAGATGAAATGTATAATGCAATCCCCATAAGTAAATCATCATCGAAAAACAACTGAGACGTACACACCCCATCCTTGCCAATATATGTCCATTGGATATGGATAGCTAATAAATTCAAATGAATAAATATGTGAAATAGCCCCATCCATTTCTATCTCTATCCTCCTCACATACTGAGTAGCCTCCATCATTGGAAGATTGCCTATGGTCTGCAGTAGAGAGCAAAATGAAGAGCCCAAGAAGAAATCAGCAGTGAAAAAAAAAAAAGTCTGAGAAAGTGTAAGAAAAAAAAAATCTTGAGGGTGTGATTGCAAATGAGAAGTGAAAAAGTGTGTTCGGAAAGTTTAAAATAATATCCTGCAAAGCATTTAAAATGAAGGTATAAAGCAATACCCATGTAGAAAATAAGAGTTGCGTGAACTTTTTCACTGAGCCAACAATGGAAATATAAAAGCCCATTTCGGTATAACTTTTTACTAAAACAAGCAATAGTATCACTGTTTCCAATTCTTGTTCTGCCCAGTAGATGGCACCTATTTTACATGGTTGGCCTGGCAGGCCTTAGCAAATGTAGTGGAAAATGTGAGAACTTCAAAACACTGTTGCTGACTCTTCAATTCTCTTTTTAACATGTTGTAGTACCTGACTTTAAAATATACAGATATTTGTTAACAAGTTTAACTGATTTTCTTTCCTGTGTCCTTTGGAAACTTTTACCTCAGTGCTTAAAAATGAACCATCATAAATTTGATGTTTAGTATGTGGCAAATGAACATAGGTTGCAAAGAACATTACTGGATGAATGGATAGCAAATGCTAAATGTGTTGTATCAGTGCAGCTTAGCGGTGCAGCTGGGGATGGGAGAAGGGAACTGAGTTGCGCGAGCGATAGCCCAGCACCCATGTGCATGCACATGCAGCTCAACTGCAAGTTGACCTGCGCGAGCATGCATGTGGATGCCAGCCTGCTGCTCACGCGACGGCCTGGTAGTGGTCCGTGGCCCAGGGGTAGGGGACCCTTGTGTTACATTAGTTGTAGTCTTTGACTTATAAACATTTGTTTAATAGTAATTCAAAGTTACAATGGCCTTGGAAAAAGTGACTTAAAATCTGAACTCGCACTTATGACCATTACACAACCCTTGCAGTCATGTGATTGCACTTTGAGCACTTGGCAGTTGGCTTGGATTTACAACCAATTGCATGTCCTGTTGTCACATGATTGTGACAAATTCACTTAACAACCATGTGATTCATTTAACAACTACTGTGATTCACTTAACACAGAAGGTTGTAAAATTGAGTGCAACTCACTTAATGATTGCTTCGTTTAACAATTGAAGTTCCGGTCCCAATTGTTGTAAGTGAAGGTCTACCCGTAGTCAAATTGCAGGTGTTCATCCAATTCAGCATTCTATCAAGCCGTTGTGTGGATTACTTTTTATTCAGCCTTCTGCTTTTGATTATTTTTTCCTCATTAGGTTTCTCTTGCTACTGTGATATTTGTTGCCAGTCAGAAGACATTATCTTCTGAAGTGAAAGCTGTTATCAAACAACAGCTTGAAAATGATTCAAATGGATGGACAGCTTATAGGATAGCAAGGCAAGCTTCAAGAATGGTATGTGATCCATAGTTATAAATTAGGGTTTTTTTTAATACCTGAAACTTTTTGTGTTGTTTTTCTATGCTTTATAGAAATATTGCTTTCAGAGGAAATCATATAGAGCCGTGATGGCGAATCGATGGCACACATGCCAGAGGTGCCCAGAGGTGACATGCCAGAGGTGCCCTCTCTGTGGGCATGCGAGCCGTCACCCCAGCTCAGCTCTGCCATACATGCATGTGCACGCCGGCCAGCTGGCCTTCGGTTCTCTGGTATGCGTGCACAGGGGGAAGGTGCATTCATGAGGGATGGGTGCGCATGCATGTGGGGGCAATATGTGCAGGGAGTGGGGTGCATGCACGGGATAGGGATGCACATGCATGTGTGGGGACGTGCATGCATGCGTAAGGCTTGCACATGCACGTTGGGCTGGGCACATGCGTGGGGGCCTGCGTGTTTTGCATTTTGGGGGTGTGATTGCGCGCCTTGGGCACTTGGTGCCAAAAAGATTAGCCATCACTGATACAGTGCATGCATATAGCAGAGGCAGGTGTCCGTCCCACTCTTCTCATGTAAAATTGTTGGGTTTTTGATGAACTTTAGTAATAGCAGTTAGCACTTAGACTTATATACCACTTCATAGAGCTTTACAGCCATCTCTAAGTGGTTTACAGAGTCAGCACTTTGCCCCTAATATACGGATTGTAAGACTAATATACTAATGTAAGACTCGAACTGCTGGCAGTCAGCAGAATTAGCCTGCAATACTGCATTCTAACCACTGTGCCACCATGGCTCTGTATTCTTTATTTGAAAAAGGATTTAAAACAAACTTGAAGATGTCAAATAATTTATGTAATATAATTTATATAAAGTAAATCCTTCTTTCTCCCAATAGATGACACCCAGTAGGCTAACAAGTATATAAATCAATGTCATTGAAAGTACAATAAACACACTTTCAAATATTTCTGCGCATGTTCTCAACTTTATCAGTTAAACCCACCTAAGTGTTAGAGACCTAAATAGAAATTGTCTTTGTCTGTTGGTGGAATGCAGCAAAGGGAGAACTGGCCTGAAAGAGACTTCAGAGCCTGGGAGTAGCTACAGCATGAAGAACAATTTTATCTCACTTTTCCATCAGCCATACCTCTAATGATGGCAAGCCTAAAGCAAGCCTGGGTTTTTTTAGACAGCCACATCCCATCTTTGGTCATGTTTTACAAATCATAACAATGGCTGGAAACAAATTGGTAATTATGGAATCAGGAAAGTCATATTCTCACTTTAATTAGTGTGAGACAATGATGTGAACAGATTATTAGAGTTTTCCCCCTGCTTTTATTAGGTTTATAAGTAATGTAACTTTTTATATATTTTTATGTGTGTATGTATTGTGTATACATTATAAATTTATAAGGTATATCCTGGAAAAGATACATTTGGCACTCTAAATCTTCCCTGAGGAGATTCCCTCTTGACCTCTCCTGAAATCTTAGCATTCAGTTTCAGTAGTGGGTTCAGGAGCAGATCCAAAGTGAAGACAGTCTTCAAGGAAGAAAGTAAGCCTCATTCAACATTATGTATCTTTTTTCTTTTTAAGCAACTAGAATCTCTTCTGGCTTAAATGTGCCAGATTAAATTCTGGTAACAAATTCTAGTTAGTCAAAATTGATTGTCTTGGCAAATCAAATTATTTTCATGCAACGTTCGTGGTGTTACTGAGAGCACAGTGCAGTATCATGTGCTGTATATACTATTTGGACAGCTGTTGATGGGAATGTAGGTGTGTATACATACACACACACACACACACACACACACACACACACACACTCACAAACTGAGCACAGGCACTATTACAGGACAGAAGGGAAGATTGCCAGCAAGTTTGAGTATACTCGAGTTATCTATTGCAAGGCTGCTTCAGATACATGTTTATTGCTATCTCCTGTGCTTAAGTATAGAGAATTTTCTGCTGCCTTCCTGCAAATCGTATCTGTTTATCCTTTGCAGGGCAACCATGGCATGGCCAAAGAGCTTTATCAAAGCCTGCTGACTCAGGTAGCTTCAGAACACTTCTACTTCTGGCTGAACAGTCTGAAGGAGTTCTCCCATGCAGAACAGTGCTTAACCGGGCTTCAAGAGGACGATTACAGCTCTGCCCTTTCTTGCGTCGCTGAGTCACTAAAATCTTATCATAAAGGAATAGCTTCTTTAACGGTCAGTATTTTTTCCCCTTCTTGCAGAGCTTGGCTTAGAACAATTCATTTAGTGACTGTTCAAAGTTACAAGGGCACTGAAAAAAGTGGCTTGCGACCGTTTTTCACACCCTTTGCAAGCATCCTCATGAACACGTGATCAAAATTCATTTGCTTGACAACTGGTTCACATGTCCGACGGTTGCAGCGTCCCAAGGCCATGCGATCACTTTTTGAGGACTTCTGACAAAGGAAGCCAATGGGGAAACCAGGTTCGCTTTAACAGCTGTGTTACTAATTTATGAACTGCAGTGATTCACTTAACAACTGAGACAAGAAAGGTCATACAATGGGGCAACACTTACTTATATGTCTCACTTAGCAACAGAAATTTTGGGCTCCGTTGCAGTCGTAAGTCGAGGACTACCTGTAACAATCTTTTATTTCTTCTCTTTTGAGCTATAGCCTTCGGTGTCCTTGGAAAACCAATAGAAGGTTTATATCTCATGGTTCAGAAAAAGTTTTGGCTGGAACTGAGATTTCAGCAGTGACTCAGTGCGTTCTTATTTAGGAGCTGGATCTCTGGTAGGCCCAGGCCTGGACAGGTGCTCCCATAAGCTTCCTCCCTTTCTGAAGAAGAACCAAATACAGTTAGCGGAGTGTTCCAATGGTGCATGTGAAAATCCTGTCTCATATATCCTTTTCTTTGTTTCTGCAGTCTTCTTTTTTATCTGTAGCCCAGGGGCTGGCCAAATAGGAAGTCTGATAGCCTCTTTGTAGACTGTAATCCATGTCTGGATTATTTGAAGGCCCGATACATCTACTGTTTAAAAAAGAACAGGGAAAAAATTCTTTGCACCTTTAGCAATAAAATTCTTTATTGTTGCAGAAACAAACTCAAGGATGTCTCTCTCATTGAACTAGCAGTGTGGGCAATGTGGAAGGGAGGAGTGTTTAGTCTCTCAATAACTTCATTTATTGTACAGCTAGTTTACTCCCACAGTAATTTCAACACAAAATACTGCTTGGTAAGAGTGTAGGTGTGAGCACTCCATGAATTGCTTTGATACATGCATTAACTTTTCATCTAAGAGTGAGTATGGAGGAGGCAGAGGTAGAACACTAAGATTTTTGATTGCAATTTGAGCAATCTTTGATTCTTTGTATAATCAGTCAAGTGCCAAAGTTCCTTTCTGCAAAGAGAGACCTTTCTTCCCACAAGCTTATTTTTTTAATTAATAAAAATGTTTTGCAGGAATACAACTATGTTCCACATTCCTGAAGCATTTAAGCAGAGAGTTTAATTTGCCTGCTATATATATTATAATGAGGCAGAAGATTTGCAACCGAATTATACTTTGGCATGAATAATTATTCATCTCAGAAATATATTTGCCATATAATCAATCAGTCAATCAATCAATCAATCTGAATAGAGCTGGAAGGGACCTAGAGTTCATCTTGAGATGCGTTAGTAAAGCTGAAATAAGGAAGAGAAATGAAGATGAGGTTTAAAATATCTTTAAAGCTTCATTCACAAAGTGACTCATCAACCAATTTGGTGTAAATTAGAACACCAAATTTTGAAGTAGAGAACCGTGTGGTCAAATTCCCACTTACCTCTGAGGTTGGGCCTATTGTTTGATTCCCAAATTTACTCCGATCTTCCTATTTTACTGGGCTCTAAGTTTCCTGAAAGAAAAATGAGATACAGATACGATGATTAAGTATTGAAATCCATATTATAGATATAAGCGTTAGAGGTAGTCCTCAACTTACAATCACAATTGGGACCAGAATTTTGATATCTAAGTGATATAGTTGTTAAGTGTCATCACATGGCCAGGCTCAATTTTGCAACTATTTTTACAGCAGTCATTAAGCAAATCATCACAGTCTTTAAGTGAATCACACAGTATTTAAATGAATCATATGGTCATTACGTGAATCTGGTTTTCCTCATTGACTTTGCTTGGTGAAGGCTGGCTGAGAAGGTCGCATATTGCAATCATGTGACTACAGGCCATTGGAGCCATTTTTAAATACAAGCCAGTTGCCAAGTACCCAAATTGCAATCACATGACCATAGGGGGTGGTAAGACTGTCAAAACTTAAAGGATGAGTCATAAATCACTTTTTTAAATGTTATCATAACTCCAAACTACCATTAAGTGAATGTTTGTAAGTAAAGGACTACATGTAGAATTTCCTTTTGAGCTTACAAACATAGGCTGTCTATATTCTGCAGATTTTCTGGATATAGAAATTATGTCTTTGAAGCAAGTCACTTGGTGTAATGGAAAGGAAAGAATGGCTTACTTATTAGGTTAGCTAAATTCCTTCATTCTTGTGTTGTACTATTGTCATTTCTGACCAGAACAAGGCAATTTGTCAACCTGAGCTAAGCAGAAATGAAACAGTTTATATAGAGCAGAAAATGTATTTAATTGCGTAATGTACTAATTTGAATAGAAAGAATGTATGAAAATCGAGGCTTTTACAAGTGTCAGGTTGAGTCTTTATTAACCTTGTAAGAGCATTTTATTTGATGAAACTATAAAAATGTGATCATATTCAGGGGTCCCCAACTGGCAGGCGGATATTTAAGAGGATATTTAAAAACTAGGCAAATAAAGTGTTGCAGTCAACATCAACAAAGTTATGAAAAGATGTTCATCATTGCAAAAAGTCCAGTATCATAAACAGTTCAGTAAACAGACTCACAGCAATCCAATAAGAACGACGATCAGCAACAGTCCATAGGGAAAATGCAGGAACCAAGAACATCGACCATCAGAACATCTAGCAACTAGCAACTAACAACAACAGAACAACCCAGGTTTCTGGCTCCATCTTATGAGGAACCAGACCCAATTACAATTTTAGCATTCCCTTAAAGATGCAGTATTAAATGTCTATCCTGGTTTATATATTTCCAACCCAACTGTTAGGTGACTATCATTCCTAACACTCACCATCTAGACAAGCCTTCCTTTCCTCTTTGGAAAATCATTTCCAACTATTTACTAGATTATTAGTTATGAACTTGCTTACTTTGGACTCAAATTATGAATCTCCAAGTTATGCCTTTACCTGATTGTGTTTTTTCCCTCCCAGGCTGCTAGCACACCACTTAACCCTTTGAGCTTTCAGTGTGGGTTTGTTAAACTACGCATTGACCTTCTCCAGGCTTTTTCTCAGCTCATTTGCACTTGTAATAGCCTGAAGACTAGTCCCCCACCTGCCATTGCCACAACAATTGCCATGACTTCAGGCAGTGATCTCCAGCGGTGTGGTCGTATTTCCAACCAGGCAAGTGACCTGATCTACCTGTGTTATTATTGTGGGAACATACTTCTTTATCATGATTCTCTGTGATTACTCATATGATCTATGCAAGGCCCCTTTGAACCTTTTAATCTAGAGAATTGCAGGTAGTCCCCGTTTAATGACTGTTCTTAGTTATAACGGTGATGAAAAAGTAACTTTATGACCAATGTTCACATTTACAATCTTTAAAATTATGTAGGACAAAGGAAAGCTGAAGCATAGTTTTACATAGCAACTGCTTAACAAGCAAGTTGCCAGTCCCATCTGTAGTTACTAAATGAGGATTACCTGTGTTTGTTAGGAATTTTACACCCATAAGTATCACATCACTAGCCATAGTTCCCACTAAACCAGGGATGGGATCCAACTGGCATAACTACTGGTTCTGTTGCTCTGCATCGCGCGCACGACTCACGCAAGTTGCGCAAGTGCAATTTACGACCTGCTAAGCTGCCCAGACAGCTGAGCAGCGCTGCGTGCAAGTGCGCAGCGGTTGGAAAAGTCCTTTTTTCCTGCTTTTTCAACTGCAGCTATGTCGCACAAAGCAGCTGCGGTTGAAAACACAGGCAATAAAGGTCAGGTAAGAGCCCAGGTGGGCGGGTGGGCCAAAACAGCAGCAAACATAGAACCGGTCCTATGTATGCGCTCTGTTTGTTGCTTTTCAGAGCAACTGGTTCTATAGAAGTGGACGGAACCGGTAGAATCCCACCCCTGCACTAAACCTCTTAAACTTTATTTTAGACCACAAAAGTGTTACCATGCTTCTTACAATAGATTGTTCTTGTGTGTTTTTTTGTTTTTTTCTCAAATCTTTTTTTAGGTTTCTTGAGTGATTTATAAGGAAAAGTTGTCTTCCCACTGTAGTTGCTTGATCTTTGGCCCAATGGCTCCAAGAGTCTCCTTCACAAGTGGTAGCATTGTAGGAACAAATTTTCTTCCTGTAGTGTGTACTAACAGTGTTCTTCTTTGCTGAAAGTACTTTACTAGTTACCTAACCATTGCTACTTGTTTATTGAAGAGGCTTGTCATAATTTTCTTTTTAATTTGTGAGCAACCGGGTTGGACCAAGCCTTAATGAAAGCTATTGTAACTTCCTTAACCTTCCTACCATGTCCCAGAAATTGTATAGTGGCTTCCATATCTTTTAAAGAGATCAATCAAGAGTTACATTTACAAGATAGGTAGATATATGCATCACTCTAATAATAAATGTTCCACTGCCCACAGAGAGTTTTTAAGTCTCTGTGCTGTCATTATTGATACTAAGGAAGTGACACATTGAAGATTCAAGATGTTCTGTGAGGCCTGCTTTGCCTCATTCTGACCAAGGCAAAATGAAAAATAGGGATAAAAGTCTTATCACTTTTCCAATCCATCTCTACCACCATAAAGATCTGGCATTCTCCAAATCTGTAACTGCCAGTTTCACAACTCATTGAGTCTGAGTCTTCATCACCTTCTCTCCAGTCATAGAAATCGATCCTCAAAAAGGGAATCTTAAGACAGATGCCCCCAAAGAGTTATAGTAATTCTGTAATAAAATTCCAGTTGTTTGCAAGTTTTTCTTAATGTCAACTGAGATCTGCCTTCTTGTAACTTATGGTCAATATTCTATATCCAATGCTTTTGACAGCAGAAAACTGATGGTTGCTTTCTGTGGCACACTTCTTGAGGTACGTGAAAAGGGCTGTCATATCTTTATTTAGGCATTATTGTTTCAGACTAGATTTTACTTCCACCACCACTTAAAGATCTCTTTAATGAAATCCTGCTGGATATTCCCCCTTAAATGGAAATTGGAATGACCTCCATAAAAAGCATGACCTTGTCAGGTACAGGTCCAACATTTGGAGCACTCCTACAAAATATTTCTTCCCCCTTTGTGCATTTTTCTGTAGAAGGCAAGTTAATTCTAGCCATCTCAGGATCTCTTTGGCAGTTACTTTTTAAAACACTCCAAAACATTATAGTTTTGTGATCTAATTGTAATCTAATTGTTTGTCAGTTGTGTAATCTAATTTTGTTTAATTTTTCAAGTTGCATGGAATCCAAAGTAGGTGTTATATACATAGACAATTATTAAACTGTTTTGGAATTTACTGAAAAGTGATATACTGATATTTTAAATCAACAACTATTTTATGTTCAGAAACATTAGATTCCTGAAATATCCCTAATAATAGTTTTACATATGCATATTAACATATCACTGAGACATTAGGGCATTCAAACATGCAAATAATCAGAAAATTGTCATTTCTTGGATACCAGGAATCAGTAGATTGCATTGGTTTCCATCTAACTTATTCTAAAGGCCATAATGCATGTAGCTTAGCAGGTCTCTACAAAAAAGCTGTTCCATAATATGAAAAGTCCCGTTCCTTCTATTTATTCATCTGAAATGAGGGGAGGAGACATGTGAAATAGGAAAGCAACATGTGGAGTCTGTAACAAAGAGAAAATCTTATATGCAAACTAACCGCAGGACAAGGGGACAAGGCAAATGCTACTTTCAGCAAAGTAAGGTGCTTTCAGCCACAGGAAGAAGTATGAATTGAGATTTGAGTCTGATCCTGCTGCCAATAACGTCATCTTGCTACATTTTATATGGATCTATAAGAGAACTAGAGCCAAGTACCGAAAGAATTTTAGCATAGCGTTTAGGAGTCTCGGCAGCAGAGACTGGCATTTGATCTAAGAATAGGTGGACTTGGTGTCGGGATGCTATGATAATGGACGTGAAAATAAGCAATAGATAAGCATAGTAAAAAGGACAGGCCAATATACTATAAACCTCTTAGTTGAATTTTCTGTGTATTGTGTTCAGTCATGGCCAGTGTCTTGCTTTTGTTTCTCTTCTTCTGTTCTGCCCCCACTCGGTGCTACTGCAGATGAAACTCTCCATGGAAGAATTCAGAAACCTTGCAGCAAGATATGGCGATCTCTATCAGTCTTCTTTTGATGCAGACTCTGAAACTCTGAGAAATGTGGAACTGTATCCTGCTTCTTATAATATGAAAAAAGTTTAAATCTTGGAATGTAATACTAGACCCTCTGTGGTATTGTTATTTATGAATACTAAAAGAAAAGAACAAAGAGGAATGCTTGAAAAATGTAGACAGGTATTTGCTATCTTAACTCCCCCCTTCACTATACCCTGATCAACTTGCAATATTTAGAAACATTTAACCCCCTAAAACCCTAAGTGCTTGGATTTGCCTTGCCTTATAATGTATTGTATGTATGGAAGCCATTCTTGTTTGAATTTTATATCTTGTTTCTTAAACAACTAGAGCTTGGATGTTTTTCCCCCAAAGACTCTTCCTTGAGTCTATTATGGGGGCTTAGGTAGAGCTAAATTTGTGCAGGCAATTCTTAGATAATTACAGCTTGCACATACAAGTTCATTTTTAAAGTTAAAAACAAAGCATAATTATGGTTGGCCTGCCAGAATGACTGAAAGTACACCTTTTAATTTAATGTAAAGGTGTCCCATTTAATTTAAGTTCTGTCTCATTTAATGTAGCCCATCCCGTATTGTCTTACTATTAGTGATTGTATTTGATTATCACAAGTAGGATTGTGAAATCAAGTGTCTTCTTTGCCCAAGAACAAAATACTTTGCACTTCAAAGCTGTGTTTTGAGCTGGGAGCAAAGCAAGACATTCCATTCCATATTGTTGTTCTCATTTCTCCAAAGGTTGGAGTGTACAAAAGCCATTAAAACTTGAGACACAAATTCCATTACTGATATTAGAAAGTTAATAGTTTACAGATAGTAATGCCTTGCTTCTTTTGCTATATCTTCTCTGTGAATCATGCTTTCTTTTTGAGATAAGTTGCTGAATGCAAAAATGTATTTTGTACAGGTACATCAAACAGTGTACATATGTTTTCTTCCAGTTGCCAAATAGAAAAACTGTCCTGCTTTTTTCATTTATATATTGGGGGTTTTGTTGACGAGTTACCAAGTGAAAAATTAGGCTTTGGGATTGCCCATTAACAGAGCTGCTATTGCTGCTGCGTTGTGGAACACAGGTTACGGGCAAATTGCAGTTGTGTTAAGGTGAATCCATTATTGTTGCTTGCTTTAATTTCTGGCTCAGTTGCATGGGAATCTGAAAAAGTTATTGCTTGATTGGATATTTTTTTAAATGTTGAATTATTTTAGAAAGTCACCTTCTAGATAGTTTTTCTGCACATAAGTTGATAGACAACATAGCATAGCTACCAGGACTGTTGTAGCCCCAGGACAAAAAGTAAGAGAGCATGAAAGAGCTCCCTTTATTGTACTTTATACAACAATACTCGAAATTGTTTTGAATGTGATTCAGTCAAAACATGAAAGACTCAGAATGTTCCATTGTAATGTCTGAAGTGGAACTATTCTGAAGGGGTTCCCCACCCCACCCCCATGTTGTCTTTACCCTATATCACAAGCCCTAGATATTTCTTTCCTAGTTCTGAGATTTGTTTCTTTTTCCTTTAGTTACATATGCAAATAATTAAGAAGGAAATTTTGTATATGCAAAATATGCTTTCTGTTAACCCAATGGGAAATAGTGTAAAATTACAGTTTTTTTTTAAAAAAATGGCAATATTATATGTTTAATTTTGCTTTGGGAAAGCAGGACTCTCCCCATTTCTTCCACTTTGTTATTTAAGACTCTTAGTTGGTTCATTTATTCTTTTGGCAATGGGAAACTGCTGCTACAAATGAACTTCCAACTGTGCATAGATCTCTCTTGCTTGCACATATGTCTGCCCTGGGCTGCTAGCCATATCCTGTGAACTGTTCATTCAGGCCTTTTGTGTCTTGTATCACCAACTGCCAACTTCTTCTGAGGTTTTGTTGAACTGTTACAAGAGAAAAATGTCCCCAGGTTTTAAGAATATTTGTGTCTCATTCAAATAAATAGACTGATTTTTCAGTGCTATAGGATATGTTATGCATGTGTAACAAATGCCAGTTTCCCATCATATTCAAATCCTTTTATGCGTAAGACAATATAAAAAACGTATGTTGCAACTTTTCTTTGTTAATATTCTTTAACGTTACTTTAGGCAGCAGCAGAGTTGCTTATTAATATCACATGCAATTGAAGCTCTGATCTTAGATCCTGAATCTGCAAGGTATACCTAATTCAGATTGCCTTTTGTCTTTCTTTTATTTGCTAATCTTTTCACTAATATTCATGTTCCCTCCATATGTGGGCTGGGCATTATGGGATTTAAAGTCCGGAAAGAGCAGATTGGGGAAGGGGTCATCTGAGCAGATCTGTTATAAAATAAAAGATATACAAAGTTTCTGTAAAAGAGCACTCAACAGCTGCTTCTTGAACTCTTTATGAAAGCAATGTAGCAATAACAATAGCACTTAGACTTATATACTGCTCCACGGTGCTTTACAGCACTTTGAGTGGTTAATAAATGCCAGCATATTGCGCCCTACAATCTGGGACCTCAAGTACATTTATGGAAAACAGCTGTCTTACATGAATATTTCTTCTGGGGGTGTGCTGTACTTTTATTTAAAGCTGCACAGGTGCTTTAGAGTGGACATGGGCCTTATTTTTTCCAAAGTTTATACATATACAAGCAATTTTTCAGCTTGAATCTAAAGAGCAACCTATCTCTAGTGTAGTGTAGTGTTTCTCAACCTTAGCAACTGGGGAATTTTGGGAACTGAACCCCACATATGTTAAATTTGTCAGGGTTGAAAAACACAGCTCTAATGTCCTCCTTCAGGAACTGCTTTTTCCATTATTTTCTAGTGAACATTTGCAATATTAGAAAAGATTCTGGAGCACATTTGAGGCTTTTCATTCAGCGCTGATTTAGTCCTGTTAGGCTTCCTCATCAATCCATATGAATCTAAGTGCTCAGCCTAAAAACTGGGTGAGTTAAGAACAGTCACCACTTATTCAATTCATAATGTAAAAGGCTGAACTTGGAGAAATACCCCAGATGGTTTGGAAATATTTAAATGTTCAGTAAAACAGAGGTGTTAACTGTGAAATAGGAAACTATTATGAAGATTTAAGCAACATAATGTCTCCAGTATTGAAGAAAATACAAGAAACTATCCAAGAATATTACTCTTGGTATATTGTGTTTTCTGTGTTTAATTTTACATCAGAAATGTAATTGATATTATTCATTCTGTTAATCCTTTCAACTAGGATGCTTCAAATATGTGTAAATACAGGTAGTCCTCAACTTACCACAATTGTGCCACAATTTCAGTTGCTAAGTGAGACAGTTCTTAAGTGAATTTTGCCCCATTGTATGTCTTGCCACAGTTGTTAAATGGATCACTGTGTTTGTTCAGTGAACCTGGCTTCCTCATTGACTTTGCTTGTCAGAAGGCTGCAAAAAAATGATCACATGACCTTGGGGCACTGCAACCATCATAAATACCTGCCAGTTGCCAAGCATCTTAATTTTGATGACGTGACCATCGGGATGCTGCAGCAGTCGTCAGTGAGAAAAATAGTCGTAAGTCACTCAGTGCTGTTGTAACTTTGAACAATTACTAAATGAACTGTTGTAAGTCGAAGACTGCCTGTACACAAAGTGCTCTTCAGGAAAGATAAAATAACTACACATTGAATATCTACTTTTTTAAAAAAAAACAGCTTTCAGGAATATGGTTCTTCTGGAGTGGCCCATGCTGCAAGTGAATATGAAAGGAGAATGATGTCTGTGTTTGGTTGTGTGTTGGAAGAAGTAGAAGCCTTGAACCGAAAATATGCACCAGTATCCTACATGGCAAGTAATATACACTCCAGCTGTTGGCCCGAGATAAGGAACAGAATCCCCAAACTGAAAATCTAAATATGGTTTTCTATGTGTATTTACATATATTTAATCAAAATATTCTTCAACAGAAAAATAGGAATAAGACTGCTTCTCTTTTCTGCCTAATTTTATTTCGTTTTCCAGAAGTTGAATTATTAACTGAATTTTATACTTTTATAAAATACTTTTTATACTTCAAGCTCTCATGCTGTGATGGGCATTGTGTAAAAGGTTTAGTTGTAGTTCATGCCAGAGACCTTATATAATTATTCTGTCTTTGCTTTATTCAGTAATACTGATTGGGTTTCAGCATGGCTTTTAATCAGTCTAGTATTTCTTTTACTGCTCAATCGTCTATGAATACCAGTGCCATTTATATTTGTTCCAAAAAACAAAGTGGCAAACTATCAATATTGCATTGAGTTTACTCTATTTTCCATACTTGGAACAAAACCAAGAGTTTGGATGTTTTTCAAGCCATTTTTATTTGATCCCTTGGAAAAGACAGCATAGTTATTGAGGATTTTTTTAAAACCTGTTGTGCTGGTAGATTTGAATTTTTATATTCATGGAAAAGGGCATAGACTTCTGAAGAAAAACTGATATTACAGTAACACCTGAACAGCAGAAAGGAGGACATTATCTCAAGATGTGTTTGCATACTTCCTAAAGACATCAGATTGACCAAACAGGATGCTAGATTAGTTAGACTTTGGATCTGACCCAACAAGGGTAGTAGTCACAGTTCATCTTGCTGGCATGCTTTAGACCCCAGTTCCTATAATTTTCCAGCCAAGCAAGGAAATAATTTTTGCTAATTGGAGGATTATTAGAATAAATCAAGATAAGCACCAAATTGATGCTGACTGTTAACATTGTGTGCCCAGGGACAAGGGTGTTCTTAGGATTTCTAAATCTGAGAAATGTGTCAGATTTCTTTCATTTCCAGTTTCCTATCTCTGGAGCTTTTGGGATCGACAGTATGTTGTGTCTTGGCTTCCTAAGCACCAGGAACTAAAGTACTAACACCCAGAGTTTGTTCATGATATTTTATATTCATTTTGTAGAACAAATAATTCTAATCAGACTTGCCATTCTTTTGTTCTAGCATACCGCTTGTTTATGCAGTGCAGTCATTGCCTTGCTGAAAGTCCCCTTGTCATTTCAGAGATATTTTTTCCAGAAGCTACAATCAACTAGCATTAAGGTAAGCTATATTTGCATTTAGTTATAATTGCAGTTTAGGGGAAGAAATGTTATTTATAACTGCTAGACAAACAGGCAGAAGTAGCTGGAGTGAGGTAGGGACAGCCAATTGCTGCCTAAGTTCTGATATACTAATGATCTTAGATTAGACTTTTACTGAAATATTTGAACTACAATTCATACCTGAAATAAGATTTTGATTTAAAAAATAATTCTAAATCAGTGTGTCTGATTTCTGTTTTGTGTTATGAGACAGTTTTATGAAGAGCCTCAGTTACAATTCATTGTTGCCTTGTGGCTTAATGGGAATAGACATTTTCTAGCAAATAAAGATATTTCTTTTGAAACAAGTAGTGCTTTTCTTAATGTATTGATGTTGGGGATGTTTTTGTTTTGTTGCTTCCGTTAGCTTGCTAATGCATTTTATCGTATTTTTTATTTGAAAAACTGTATATGATGAAATATAACAAGATAAAACTATCTTACATAAATAGAGCAATGTAGCACTTTGCAATTTAGTTTCTTTAGCTTGAATGAGTATCTCAGGTCTAGGTCACCTTTCTAATTTGTTCTTTTTTTAAGTAGAGGGGTTGCCCTACTTTTAAAAAAAAACTCTGGTAGTAATCAGCAGAGAAAGACTGTGAATGAAGCCTATGCAAAATACAATATTCACAATTTAGCCCACAGGATAAGTAGCAGTTTTTAAGAGAAGACAAATTCAGAAGGCTAATCCATCTCAATCACTGCCCAACAGAGGGAAAGCAAGACACCAGTAGGATTGTGTTTTTGCTTCCTCCAAACTGTAAAATTACCTTGGTTCTCTCTGTCTCTGGGTTTTTGTCACCCCAAGCTGATGATAGCAGGAAAACTATTGTGAAGGAAAGAGATGGAGTAGAAAGTAGATGCACAGAAAGAATGATAGAATACAGTAATGACTGAATATCTGTGGAGATTCTCAGTCATCCAGGTCATGATTGTCCCCAAAGTGCTTTTTTTCAAGAGGCAACTGAACTTTCTGATTTTTCTTTGAAGACATTTTGCTTCTTGAATGAGAAGTGAAAGGTCTTCAAAGAAAAATCAGAAAGTTCAGTTGCCTCTTGAAAAAAAGCACCTTTGGGACATTAGTGACTCTGTATAATTAAGAATGACAGGATCATGATCTTCCTTCCTTCCTTCCTTCTCCTTTAGTAATCCAGTTTCTGGCAACATTTCTCAGATGATTTTGATTTCTGCCTGCTAGACAATCTTTTGGAAGCTTGACAGATTCCAATAGTTTGTGTTGATCTTTTAAATTTTTGTGGTCTCTTTTACTGCTTTATTTTGCTGCTTCATATTAATGGTTGCTTTATTGATTATCCATTTGGTATAAGATGGCGTCGGATGCCTCTAGTCTATTAACCATATATCCTGCTTATAAAATAATCATGCTACTAGACAAATATGTTCTCTATAAATGGATCATACAGTAAAGGTAATCATTCATTGATGGAGAGTACCTGGACACTATATAACCAAAAATGTTTTCCAATTATTGCCTAATGTCAATGCACGCTTGTTTTCCACATTTGGTAGAGACCTTAGTCACCTTGTAATTTTGTCACAGAGAGAGCGTATCTTTCTCTATGAAAAACATGACATGCAAAAGATGTATTTAGGTATTTATTTTTTCCCCCAATCCTACATGAGATTGCATAGAAAGTACCTGGGGTTAGACTCTGTGTCTGTCAACAAAATACCTCTTTGGATATTGAACCAAAGAGGGCCAAATGGGTGTGGGGAAAAGCTGGCAAAAGAATGATTGATACTGAAAATGGGGCCAGATCAGGCCAGGAGCTACAGGGAAAAAATGATTGAAAAATTCCAACAGTGCATTCTTGTGGAAGGAACAGTTGGCCAGCAATGTGGAATCTTGGCAGCTGCTCCGTCCTAAGCAGCATCTCCTCTGTTTGGGTCATATGACCCAGAGCACAGCATATGCAGTATGCAGCCCTTGCCTCCCAGGACACACATAAAACACAAACATATGGCCACAGTGTCAAAGGTTTGGAAAGAATTCCTGAAGTCATGCTCTGCTTACTTTCCATGCTATATTTTATCAAGATTATACAATGAAATATTACTCTGTGTGATTTGACTTTTGTGTGTTATTTCTATTGAGAAACAGTGCAATCTTTCTCCTAAATGAAAGGTATACTAATAAATAAGTAAAGGTTAACATCCAGTTTAAATGCTACATTTCCGTTCTCTTTCTAAATTTTGTGGTACCTCTGATGCTTGCATATGTAGAGAGAGAAATGTGTCAGTGTACAGGTCTCATTAGGATGGTTAAGGAAAATGAGCAGCCAGTAGACCCAAGAGAAAGATTATTTGCTTTCCCAAGGAAGTATTTCATGTTGTGCTCTGCTACAATTTCAATAAATAGGTCACTGGCCTATGGATTGGTGTGCATAGAGGATGAGATCTTAGGAATGTTTTAGTGATGTATTTAAAAGCAACCGCCCATGAATTCAAAAGATCTAATAGATATCTTCCATACCCATAAGAGTATGTGTAAACGATCTATGTGCTTGGTTTTTGAATACTTGCAGTACATTTTACATACTGCTTTAATTTATGAAATAGATAAACTCAGAAGTAAATGGCAAAATGTAGAAGGTTCTAGGCTAACTTCGTGGCTCATAGCAGATGGTGTATAAAACATCTGCATACACCTCATTGTTAATCAAAGTGAATAATAAAGTTGGTTGGTCAATTAGTTTGGGAGGCAAAAGGTATATTCTCTTATGTTTTAATTTTATTTTAAGGTTGCAAAAAAGGTTGTATGCACTAGAATGAGTTACTTGGAAGTATATGTGGTAAAATAGAGATTAGGTCAGGAATGAATAGATGAGGAATGAATATAAATGGAATATAAAAGCAATAGGAAAATAGCAAATTGCGTTGGTATGGTCATATAGAGAGAATGAACAAGATCAATTTACAAAGGAAATACACGAAGGAAAATTATATAGTTTGAGAGAAAAAGGAGGATTGAGAAAGTTGGATAGAATTGATAAGATTTATGAAACAGTATATGGATTTGGTAGAAATAATGAGAGTTTGCAATAATAGAAAATAATAGAGAGGTATAATAAATAGTATTTATGTGCTCTAATGTTAGTCATGTTTCCTTTTCTTTTTCTTTATCTCTTTATTTATTTATTGGTTTTGACTTCCTATTCATTTTATGTATTTGCATTATGTTGCTTTCCCTGAAAGGCAATACCATGATAGTTAGGCATAAATATTTCAGTACTGTAAAAAGAACCAAAATTAAAATAAATCAATGCATAAGCGGAAAAGATTATGCAAAACAAATTAATCCAGTAGTGTGCTGAAAAATTCAGAATTTTCCTCAGATTGATTCCTTTAAATGGGTAGCTCTTCCCTGCTGCATCTTGCTCAAAAATTTAACTGATAAATCTCTCAAGAAAATAATTCAGAATGCAGTTGCAAGCAGAAAAGTTACTATTTGCAGAAAGTAAGGAAATCTTGAGGTCTCTTTCAGGTAATCAGTTGATTATGTCAATAACAGTTGAGTTCATGTAAGTTTAGATTTGCTTGGAGTGTCTTTACTTAAGATTATCAGAATCAAAACTTAAGGGTTTTTGACAACTGTGGAAGCTTACTTAAAACCGTGTACAATGCTATAAGAGTCATGTTTAAGAGCACAGGTATTTCCTGCAGCTGAGATCCTTGAAGTACTTTTTATACAAAGCAGGAACAGCAGACTAGCTGCTTTATTTCATGATGCTGCACTTAATATTTAAAGCTTCAAATATGCACAGACCAGATTTCACACACATGAAGGCTTGTTTGATGGCGATTAGGGGACAAGAGATCCATCAGTTGACCATCTTTGTAGTGCTGGGCTTTTAAATGATTCGACACTAATATACTATGGAAAGAATCTATTCACATACAATTTCCATGTCGATGTCATAAAACTTTGCTAAATTCTTGAGAGGGTGTGAAGAAGACAATTGATTTACTTAATTTTATTTTGCTCACTGCATAGAAATTGACAAGTTTGTGTTGCTTATCTGTCTTAAGATTATATGTTTTCTGTCCCAAAAAAAGGGGAGGGGGGTAATCAAGATGGAGTAATGGTGAAGGTGCTAGACTAGGAAGTTATGAGTTCTAGTTGTTCCTCAGGCATGAAAGCTGATTGGTCACTCTTGTCTCAGTCCAACCCATTGTTTTTGTGGCAAAAAGAGAAGGCCAGAGCATTATGTATGGTGTCTTGAGCTGTAAAAAAATCAAGGCAAGATATAATTATATACTTTACTTATGGAAATAGAAATTTGAATCTATTTTATATACTTTTTATATACCTCATATACTGTTCCTAAAGTTCTTACTTTCTACAAAAATATTTTTTAAATTGGCAAAATTGGGGTGGGGCAAAATGTTAAATTTAATAGAAGGATCCTTCTCTTCCCTATCTCATCCAAGCTGAATGTCCTAGGTACTTTTCTGTCTCATATTAGAGTATACTTTCTGTATGAACAATAGTTTCCAAAGGGACGTACAACAAAATGTTCATGAAATAGATTATATAATTTTGGAAGCTGTAATGTGAAATATTGCAGATCTCTCCAACTCAGTACTCCTCAGCCATGCTAGATTACAGATCTCATTATTTCCCATACTGGTGTGGGCTGAGATAATATTCAGTGAAATAGAGAGATTTATTGAAATTCTGGTTAAATGTCAGACCTGTCCCAGATAGGGCATTTAGGAAAGAACTCCATTTGTAGTGAAAGGTATACTTTTGCTAATGCCAAGTGGTTACAGCCAAAACAAAGTCAGATCTGAGAATTCCTGATATTTTCCCCTTCTCATAGGGCCTCCCACCTGGCCATCATGTTGGGTGTTCAGTGAGGTTCAAATTAGGTTTTTTTCGGTAACAGTTCTAAATTTTGGTGCCTCTTTGATGGGGGTTAGCATTCCTTTCTCATGCCTGTGTCCTTGAATAGTTCAACCATTACCTCCAGTTGGCACTTCTGGTTCCTATCAACCCCCCCATCCCTCTATCCCCCCTTCCCATAGTTTATGGCAGGCTGTCATCAAGTGAAGCAGGGCTGAAGCGATGTAATGGCATATCTGACACTAATGAAAATTTGGCTGAGGTTTTGACACATTGGAATCTCCTGTTTCTTTTAAATAGGGCATCACCAATATAAATATTGTCTATTTCAGCTTGCCCTATCTCCACGTAACCCTGCTGAGCCCGTTGTGGTTCAAAATAACCAGCAACTGGCATTAAAAATAGAGGGAGTAGTCCAACATGGCTCCAAACCAGGCCTTTTCCGAAAGATTCAATCCATCTGTCTAAATGTGTCATCAACCTTGCAGAGCAAACCTGGACAAGAGTACAAGGTAAAAAAAAAAAAACCACGACAGCATGAACTGTTAACATTTCTGCTTCCTGTAACCCATGCACAATTAGAACAGAATTTCGCTCCACTAGGCAGCAAGAAGTTTTTACACTTCAAGTATGTTCTTGTCCTTTAACATGAGTGCAAGCTTCTGTGATGATTCTGGTTCCTTTGAAAATGAGACACCTGAATCAGATGCTAATCCTGGTGCTAAATTCATATTCCCATGATGTGCATCACATCCCTGGAAAGATAATCCTTGTCTTCAGTTGCTCCATTGACAGGAACACCAATGGATAATAGTTGCTAGTATTCCAGCAAGCTTAAAAATGTGCAGCTGTCTGACACCAAGAAACAAATCCAGCCAAGTGAAAGAGGACTGTTTCCCAGGGGTGGGCAAGAAGACGTAGGAAAAGCTCAGCAATTTGAAATACTGTAACTTAGAAAAATAGCCGAATAAATTGATATATTTTGTTTAGACACGCTAAATATATAGGGAGTATTTGTTGCTTATTTGATTCACTTCTGGTTAACAGTGCCTTCAGGAAACCTAGTCTGTATTTGTAAGTAACATGAAACTCTCAACTATTCTTTAAGCATTTGGTTGCCTGGTGCTTGTTTTCTTCCACAGATACCCATCGACAACCTAACTAATGAGATGGAACAGATGGTGGAGCCTCACAATGATTACTTCAGCACACAATTCCTCTTGAACTTCATTGTTGTTGGCACCCATAGCATCACAGTGGAGTCCTCAGTTCGAGATCTCAATGGCATTATATGGAAGACAGGACCAAAAACCACACTATTGATTAAGTCTCTTGAAGATCCATACTCCCAGCAGATTCGGCTTCAGCAACAGCAGGGACAACAGCTGTCTCAACAGCCACAGCAGCTGCAACCACAGCCACGGACAGCATACTCCCGTTATTAGCTCTCATATATGACAAGGCCTGTGTCAAAGGCATTACAGTTTGTTTGGAAATTTTTCCTTTCCCCAGGGTTCACATTTCTTCCTCTATAACAGCAGCAGTCTTGCTTCTTCTTTGTTTCCTAAAGCACAATTTGTATCTTTGAAATGATGTGGGATCACTAGTAGATTAAGTAGATTAAGGTAATTCATGTAGCAAAACCAGTTATGTAAAGTGGTTCTGCTTGAAGTTTCAGTTATCATCTTCATCTCACTTCATTACAATTTTGCCCTTGTGATGTAATACAAGTCTTAGTTGAACTTCAACAAAAACCCAGTTTCATGTGATGTCTTTCATATACAGGGTTGACAGTCACTAAAAGAATGGGATGGACTGAAGTTATCTAAAAGCTTCTTACCATAGCTTTCTGCTAGAGCAGCTCATCTAACCAAGATTCAGTGCTTCTGATGAATTGGAGTGTCGTTGCATTACATAACCCAGCCAATCACTTTAGTTTCCTCCCTTCTTTCTTCAGTTGTGTTCTACTTAAAAAACATTTTATCTGAATTATTTCTTTATGAAGATCACTATGGAGCCTGAGATAAGACTAGTTTTGACTGGTATCGCAATTCATCCATCTGCAGTGCCTGTGAGAAATCCTTCTTGGTGAGTGAGCAAGTAGATCTATAAGGATTTTTTTATTGCAATCATAATAGCTCTTTGAATCATCCAGTTCTCACTTCCTGCTGTATATTTTGCTTATTACTCTATGATTTTGAACATTATACTTCGGAAGTACTCCCACTCACCCTCAAAATAATACTATCTGGATTTAAAATAAATAAATAAAATAATGCATCTAAACATGGGAGAATTGTGATACAAACATCCACATTGAGAAGGTGGCACTGCACCTTAAAAAGAGAATATATTCTAAAGTAGAACAGTAATAGAAGGACAATGCATGACCGCTAACCTGTAATCTGAAGGGGATGCACTTTGCCTGCTATTATTAGTTTCTTCCTTATACAGGCTTAATAAGTATCCTGTTGAGAAGATTCTTGTGTTACCTACTTCATGAATAAAAACTAGCTGATATAAAAAGAAGTCAGTGGATCTGAACACTGATGGGCACATACCTTAAATGGTAGTAACAAAAGAGGAATTGCCCTTTGCAATGGGCCTTAGCCTCTTTTCAACTGATTATTTGCTCACAATTGTGGAGAGTTACAATCATGTTGGCAGAGATCTTCACTGTCTTATTCAGTTAGTGAGTTAGGGAAAGTGTGTGTGTGTGCTTGTGCATGTGTGTGGGGGGATTGCTTTTTTAGTGAGAGGGGTTTTTAATACATACAGTAGGGAAATTACTCAGATAGGTTTTTATTAATCGTGTGGCCTTTTTCTTATGTACGTGCCAGTTTAATAATTTGTTTTCAGTTTTCATTTGGGTGTTAAAATGGTATTCTTTGTGAAGAAAAAAAGGCATTATATACACGTGTACTCATGATACAGTCAACAGTCCTGTACATATACCTTAATAATGAAATAAATACCACATCTCAATGCATTTTGTAGCTCTAAGAATTCTTGAATCTGGACAGAGCCAATGCAGTCCTAATTTTCATAACTTCAGAAAAACTGCCTTGGTATAATTATTTTGAAATCCAGTATTTATTTATTCAATTTATATCCTGCCTTTCATTCAGGAGCTCAGAGCGTATAGGTAGATACTTTTCCCACAATAACACCGCTATGACGTATATTGAACTGAAGGGGACTGACTGGCCAAAAGTCAAGAAGGTTCTGTGGAGGAGGGTGGCTAGAAATTGAGTCACCCAATTAGGTCCAACTCCTTAACCATTATACTATGTTGATTCACTCTATTAGATCCGGTGGTTACTTTTCTCCTTGTCTCTAATGCATTTCTCTCCCCACTCCCGAGGTGTGGATAGTAGTTTATGACAAACATTGCCATAATTATTCATGGTTCATAAAATAAGAGCTATTAGACCGATTTCCATTCTATGTTTTGAGAAGACATTTACACCACCTTTTCTGCAAGAGGAGGATTTTTTGCAACTTTAAAAAAAAAAATCATTGGAAGGAATTCCCCCAAGGTGTCTTGTTTTGGGAATGAACTGAAGAGTGGGAGAGGAGGCTGCAGGTCTTTGGAGAGATCAGCGTAAATGGAAGGAAGAACATACATGCATCCTTTAGCTATATTGTAATTAAATAAGGGCACGATTACCATACTCTATCCATGAGATTTTCACTAAAATTCTGAAAATTTCTAAAGTTGAAATTTTACAATTGCTAATTTAATACATTATTGGTAAACCATTTTCAGTGGCTTTATAGCAGAATGGTACATGTTTGTGAGAGCATTTGAGTTAGATTACCTGTTGCTGACAACCAACTCTCGGAAAAACCACCAAAAAGAGTTATTGTGTGCCTAAATATTTGCCTAAATGAGGTGCTGGACTAGATGAACTTCAGCAAATTGAAACTGAAGGCATAGCCCAATTAAAAAAAAAAAAAAACTTTCCTAACCGGAAGAGCAGTTTGACAGTAGAACGTATTACTTGCAGATTAATTGGTGGCATCACACAGAGGCAAACCACTGCAGTAAGCTTCCATGTCCCATGAAACTCCTCCTTTCTGAAACACCTTGCCCTAAAAATGATCTTTTGGGGTGTCTTAAAAGTGATTATGTTGATCTTAGCTGTCAACTTTCCTTATATCTATATGCATTTGATGTCACACACATGTACACAAAGGTGGGGCTTCAGCTGCATTGTCATTCTTGGCTTCCTGACCTTTTTGACTTTTCCTTCAGATGACCCAGAGCTACAACTATAGTGTTGATCCATATACATTCCAGGCTGTCATCTGACCAGCTTACAGTCATTAATAATCTTGTCTGTGATACATATGTCTCTTTATTTTTCATGTCTTGATTTCTCAAGGTGATGATTCATTGCCAAATGTAGAAATTGCCTCAACAGAAACACATGTAAGTAAGTCACTGGAAAATTATATCTACAGTGCTCTCTCACAATGGTATAAATTGATCCAGACTTCTCCATCCCTGTTCCGAGGTTCTCATCTCATGTCTTGAATGACTGATTTTTTGAAGTCTGTTCTCCATGTGACTCTTATTTGGACCTAATACTGTGGAAATTATAGTGAATACATCTGGAGGGAACTGGCTTCAGAAAGATTGTTCTAGATCCTCTTTGATTAGAAAGAAAGCCCTTATCTAGAAGCGGAAGTCTTTCCTGAGACAAATTTATTCTAGCAATCCTCTTATTAATCCTTAGTCGAGGGCAGGGGGGTTTAAATCTAGCAGAGATGTAAAGACCTATTTAATGTTTCTTTTCAAGCTCACTGAAGGATTGCTTCATGAATATACATAGAACAGCTATCAAATTTTAGAATTAGGACTTTCATTGTGTAACGTGTTCAAAGATCACAACATTAGAAGCATGTTATTATAGGAAATTTGTAAAGAAACCCTTCAGAATAATTATGCTGACTGTCCAAAAGATAAACTCTGAAAGAGAACATTCAGCCCCTTGCATACATTTCTTTTCTACAAAGAAAAAAGGTTGTATTAGAGATAGAGATAGCCTGAGCACATATACTGAGTAAACTAAGTGTGTATCAGTACAATGCATATACGTCCTAATAAGTTGAATGTTGTCAACACAATATTGGTTTACAAGGCAGTCTTGGATTAAAAATAGCTGACACATAATACTGAGAGTAAATTTGGTGTAAAATTACTGTGTGGTGCATTGATTAAACTGGGCAAAATTGACCAGTACAATATGAACCCCTTAGCAGAATTACACAAATTACTGAGGATTTGGGAGAGAGAAGCACCAGTGAAAGAAAAAAAATGATTTAATGAAGATTGAATCATATTTAGGTATCAATGAATACATATTTTACTTCAGATGTAGAAGCAGAGAACTTGAATAGAGAATGGAATGGAACATGCTTGGAAAGATCATGGTTGGCTGAATGGAACATTCAACATGATTATTCAACAATATGCTGTTATAAGCCTAAAACATGAAACTCATGTTGTATCCTAGTTTGATTTGTTCTAGTGAATTCTATCTATGTATAGCTGGGCAGGAAATCATGAATGGCAAGGCCTAGATTGACCTTCCCTAATTAGAGTGGCCTCCAAAAGTTATTCCCACTGCTTAAGAGTAAGGCTTACTGCAAATGTTCTTTCTTCATGTTGGGACATAATGCACCTATACCACATGATTAAATATTTTTTTCACCTTTGAGGAAGTTGCAAATTCACTCCTTGCCACCATCAGCTGAAAAAGATCTTAGGTGATGAGAATACCCTTTATTTGAAAATGTGAATGAGCATGTTTATTTGGAATAAACCATTGTGCTAATACCGTGCAACTTTAAATGCTCATCATCTTTCCAATTTTTCCACTGTCCAGCTTGCCTTGGTGACAAGAGTTTCACTAGTGCTAGATACCTGAGACACAGAGCACCTGAAATTAGAAATTTACTTCCTTCAGAAAAAAAGAGTCAAGACTTTTTGCACATGAGTTTCATGTAATTTGAGCCACATTTTAGATGTGTACTAAGATGGGTGGTCACACAAATCTTTCAAATAAATAAATTGAGTAAGATTTAAATTACGTGAATAAATAAGATGTCTTCTTGCTGCATATAATGAAGATTTCTTAACCAAGCTAATGCCATTATCTCTGTTGTTGAAAAATGATGCCAACCCTCATTCTAAATGTAATGTGCTTTTGAGTACTTGTAATTGCTAGCATATTTGCAAGATGTACTCTCTAAGCAGAGGCTGTGCTGAACCACCTCTTTTACTAATACAAGGTGATTCTCTACAGCTTGGAAGGCTCTTTTAAGTCAGATTTTAGATAATGTTAACTCATTTAAAATCCATTTTCATATCGCAATGTTTACATACAAAAGTAATAAATCCTTTGGTGGCTGAACAATGTTATCATCCCACCCCTCAATGGTATCAGCCTACTGCACTTAATCCAGCAGAAGGCATGCTGGTGTCGCCATCCGTCAAGAGTTTCAGCTGCTGAAATCTAGGGTAGCCTTTTCTGCCATGGACCCCACTTTTTGGAATATCTTGCTGCCTAAAATGAGGTCTGCTTCCCACTTTGGCCTTTTGCAAAGGCATTAAAACTTGGTTCTGCTGGTTGGGTTGGGGTCCTGATGGGGGCACTCTATGATGGAGATGGCTGGTGGACTAAAAGAGAAGATGCCACCATTGAAGTGAACTTATCTCTTTCTAATGTTTTTAT